AAAACGCCTAGCCCTGTTGATAAGCTGGACAAGGTTGAAATACCGACTGTAGACAAACTAGAGAAAGAGAAAACGCCTAGCCCTGGTGATAAGATGGACAAAGCTGAAATACCGGCTGTAGACAAACTCGAGAAAGAGAAAACGCCAAGCCCTGATGATAAGATGGACAAGGATGAAAAACCAGTTCAAACTGCAGTTGATGAAAAACCAACTGTTGACAAAGTTGAGAAAGAGAAAGCACCAAGCCCTGTTGATAAGATGGACAAGGCTGAAATACCAGTTGCAACTGTAGTCGACGAAAAACCGGCTGTTGACAAACTTGAGAAAGAGAAAACGCCAAGCCCTGATGATAAGATGGACAAGGATGAAAAACCAGTTCTTACTGCAGTCGACGAACAACCGACTGTTGACAAACTTGAGAAAGACAAAACGCCTAGCCCTATTGGTAAGATGGACAAGGATGAAAAACCAGTTCTGACTGCAGTCGATGAAAAACCACCTGTTGACAAACTTGAGAAAGAGAAAACACCTAGCCCTTCTGATAAGATGGACAAGGCTGAAATACCAGTTCCAACTGTAGTCGACGAGAAACCGAGTGTTGACAAACTTGAGAAAGAGCAAACGCCAAGCCCTGATGATAAGACGGACAAGCCTCAAATACCAGTTCCGACTATAGTCGACGAAAAACCGAGTGTTGACAAACTTGAGAAAGAGAAAACGCCAAGCCCTGATGATAAGATGGACAAGGCTGAAATACCGACTGTAGACAAACTTGAGAAAGATAAAACCCCAAGCCCTGTTGATAAGATGGACAAAGCTGAAATACCGACAGTAGACAAACTAGAGAAAGCGAAACCGCCTAGCCCTGGTGATAAGATGGACAAAGCTGAAATACCGGCTGTAGACAAACTTGAGAAAGAGAAAACGCCTAGCCCTGTTGATAAGCTGGACAAGGCTGAAATACCGGCTGTAGACAAACTTGAGAAAGAGAAAACGCCAAGCCCTGATGATAAGATGGACAAGGATGAAAAACCAGTTCTTAATGCAGTCGACGAACAACCGACTGTTGACAAACTTGAGAAAGACAAAACGCCTAGCCCTATTGGTAAGATGGACAAGGATGAAAAACCAGTTCTGACTGCAGTCGATGAAAAACCACCTGTTGACAAACTTGAGAAAGAGAAAACACCTAGACCTTCTGATAAGATGGACAAGGCTGAAATACCAGTTCCAACTGTAGTCGACGAGAAACCGAGTATTGACAAACTTGAGAAAGAGCAAACGCCAAGCCCTGATGATAAGACGGACAAGCCTGAAATACCAGTTCCGACTGTAGTCGACGAAAAACCAAGTGTTGACAAACTTGAGAAAGAGAAAACGCCAAGCCCTGATGATAAGATGGACAAGGCTGAAATACCGACTGTAGACAAACTTGAGAAAGATAAAACCCCAAGCCCTGTTGATAAGATGGACAAAGCTGAAATACCGACAGTAGACAAACTAGAGAAAGCGAAAACGCCTAGCCCTGGTGATAAGATGGACAAAGCTGAAATTACGGCTGTAGACAAACTTGAGAAAGAGAAAACGCCTAGCCCTGTTGATAAGCTGGACAAGGTTGAAATACCGACTGTAGACAAACCAGAGAAAGAGAAAACGCCTAGCCCTGGTGATAAGATGGACAAGGTTGAAATACCACTTCTGACCGCTGTCGATGAAAAATCAATTGTTGACAAACTTGATAAAGAGAAAACGCCAAGCCCTGTTGATAAGATGGACAAAGCTGAAATACCGACAGTAGACAAACTAGAGAAAGCGAAAACGCCTAGGGCTGGTGATAAGATGGACAAAGCTGAAATACCGGCTGTAGACAAACTTGAGAAAGAGAAAACGCCTAGCCCTGTTGATAAGCTGGACAAGGTTGAAATACCGACTGTAGACAAACTAGAGAAAGAGAAAACGCCTAGCCCTGTTGATAAGCTGGACAAGGTTGAAATACCGGCTGTAGACAAACTTGAGGAAGTGAAAACGCCTAGCCCTGTTGATAAGATGGACAAGGTTGAAATACCACATCTGACTGCTGTCGATGAAAAATCAACTGTTGACAAACTTGATAAAGAGAAAACGCCAAGCCCTGTTGATAAGATGGACAAGGTTGAAATACACGATCAAGATGAAGTTGATGAAAAACCGATTATTGACAAACTTGAGAAAGAGAAAACTCCTAGCCCTGTTGATAAGCTGGACAAGGTTGAAATACCGACTGTAGACAAACTTGAGAGAGATAAAACGCCAAGCCCTGATGATAGGATGGACAAGGCTGAATTACCAGTTTTAACTGAGGTTGAAGAAAAACCAACTGTTGACAAAATCGAGAAAGAGAAAACGCCAAGCCCTGTTGATGAGATGGACAAGGTTGAAAGACAAGTTCAAGAGGAGGTCTATGAAAAACCGATTATTGACAAACTTGAGAAAGACAAATCGCTTAGCCCTGTTGATAAGATGGATAAATTAGAAAAAGCAATCCCAACTTTTGTTGATGACACTTTGGCGATAGACAAAACACCAAGCCCCGCCGATACGCTAAAATCAGTGAAAGAAGTTGAAGTTTCAGAACAAATTCTTACTTTCAGAACAAAAGGTGAAGAAATTAATGTGCCTTCAGAAAAGTCACATCAAATTGTAGAAACTAAAGATAATTTATTAACACATAAAGAGCAAACCGAGAAGGTTACAGAAGAAAGAAAAACCTTGCCTACCGAAGCCGTGGAGAAATTAGAAAAAACAGTCGATAATGCATTAATGACTACTAAAGACATAACTAGTACCACAGTTTACCTTAATGGCCACTTCCAGTCACCTAAATTAGATTCGAAGGATGAGACAGAAGACACATTTATGTTAGAAAAAAGTTTGGACTCTTTGAGTCCTGAACTTGAAACTTCACCAACGAAAGATGAAATTTCACGCAAGGATCATGTTATTAAATCGACATTCGCTAAGCAAATTAAAGAATCTGAAGAAATGATAACAAAAGAAAGAAGTTTCTATTCAGATTATGACATTGGATTCCAAAGTATGAAAGACAGTGATGACAAATTGAGTTCTTTGTCTACTATTGACAGTGGAATTATTGATAAGGACAGCTTTACCCATACCTTAAAGCACGGCGTTAGTTCTGAGGATATTTCAAAGGAAGTCAGTATTGAAGAAAAATACAGCTTTGAAAGTTCAGAAAAATCAGAGAAAAGGCAGGTATTAGACAGATCATTGAAGACGACTAGTGGTTATAAAGTAATTACTAGTGAATTTAGTAGCTATAGTGATTCATATCAATCTACGAGCAGTCAACACACAAGTTTCGTCGATAGTACTAAAGAAGGGCCACTATCAGACGTGAAAATTCCAATATCTCAATTAGAACATGAACAGTTAAATATCGATTCTAAAGAGCATGGTATCGATACCTTTGAACAAATGAAAGATAAATCAATTGATGAAAGATCTAAACAGCCTGCTGATTCCCATCTTGTTAAAACTATTCAAGCAGCATTCCAAGACGAAGGCATACAACAGGGAATTAAAACAGAAGAAATTGAATATGTTAGTTCAAAAGTTGATAGAGTTTCAACTCCACCTACCGTACCAGTTAGTCCCCTACCCAAAATACCATTACAAGACCTAAAATTGACTGATGGTGTTCAAAGCGAAGTCAAATATGATAAATTACAGGGATCTGAAGAAACCATAACCAAAATTGTTCACGTAGGCGAAGATGTTTTGACACAAAAAATATCAACGTCAACTGAAAAAGTACCAAAACCATTTAAAAGCGATAAAGAGGATGAAGATACATTATCTTTAATGCAAACCATGGGTAAAATAAAAACAGAAACTGACACTGTTACTAAAATAATTAAAGACGGCGAAAATGTAGTGACCCAAACTATTACAACCGTAACGACTAAAGAAATAATTTCTAGAGAAGATGGCACACCACAAAACGTGAAAACTACTATTGAGACTACTACTCTGAGTAAAAGTTCAGATGGATCAATGACGACTACCACAGACACTCAAACATTACTTTCAGAATGTTCTTCTAGTCTCCGATCGACTTCACAGATGGATTTGTACGATCAAGAAAAAAAACTAGATAAGGAACTTGAGCACAGTGATGAAAAGTCTGAGTCAGTATATAGCTATCAGACGCAAGAAAGTTACAGTGAAAAAGGGTGGTCAGAAAAAGATAAATCACATTTTATCAAAGAAGACGATGAGGCCGACAGTAGCATTGAAGCTGTAGTAATAGATACTGATGTTAGCAAAAAAATTATTAAGGAAAATAACTTAGATATCATAGAAAATATTACTACCACAACAAAGAAAGAAACCATACGAATTGATGATGATAGAAAACTAATTAAAACCACAGTGGAAACAATCACAACTAAAGAATATCCAGATGGTTATAAAGACGTGCAGAAAAATGTTGAAGTGAAAACAGAAGAGGTTACTGTCGAGTCAAGTCGTAACATAGATAAATTGCTTAGTGATTTTTCACTGTTAGAAGAACCCGAAGAAGATATTTCCACTAATACGGAAACAGTGACATGTGACGGTATTGTTATAAAACGAACAATTACAAAAAGTACACTAAAATCAACCTATGTTGACAATCAAAGTATTCCAAGGAAGCTAAAGACTGTTAAAACAGTTACGACAACAGATGAATATCCCGATGGATCTACGCAAACAAAGGTGGATTCTAGCACATCTCTAGAAGATATAGAGATGGAACATGTTGAAGAAACCTTAGATCTCTCAGAATATACGATAGAAGAGGACACAAATGTTGATGTACAACGAGAAGAAAAGGAAGTGATTCTTAATGGTCAAAATGTTTTGCAAACTATCACAACAGTCACCTCGAAAAAAGTCTTAAGTACGCCAGATAAAGCAAAGAAAAAAATGAAGACTATTATTGAGACCACCACAGAGTCTATGCTACCAGAAGGAATAACTGAAGTTACAAAAGATGTAAATATACATGTTTCGGATTACAATAATGAACCATTAGATGACATTTCAGGCGGGTATGTACAATTTGGAGAACCTCTCGTAGATACAAAAACTGAAAAACAAACAATAACCGACTCAGGCATAACAATAAATAGGACAATTACTGTTATAACAACTACCCGAAATTATAAAAATATTTCTAAAAGGATTACAAGAACAAATAAAACTGTAAAAACTATAACAGAAGATGAGTATCCAGATGGATCGGTGATATCTAAAACCAGTGAAATGGTTTCGATAATAGATCAAAATTTGGATGTCGACGGTAGTAATTTAGGAGAATATGACAATTTCCAAAAGAATGTCGACGAAATACTAAAATCTCACATACCACCTGGTGAACCAGAAGAAACAGAAACAGTGGAAAAAGAGGATATAACAGAAAATGGTGTAAAAATAAAACGAACGATACGTACAAAAATTATTAAAAATAGTTTTTCGGATGTCCAAGGAATTATATTCCGACAAAGAATAATAAAAGTAGTTACAACATCAGACGAGTTTCCAGACGGGTCATCTCGAACTTCTGTAGATGTAACTTCATCTGTATCAGAAATTGATTCAAATGGAGAAATGCAGACGGATGCACCTGTAGAAGAGACAAAGAAGAATATTACAATAGAAAACAGAAAAAATGTGATTATTAAAGATGGGGTACAAATTAACCAAGTCATCACAACAACCACTACAAAAGAATTAATAACGACTGAAGATTTAAAGGAAAAAATTAAAACAACAGTTGAGACTGTCACTGAGTCCACATCACCAAACGGAGCTGTTGAGGTTATTAAAGATGTTAAAGTATCTATAACTGATTACGAAGAAGATACACTTGAAGAAACTTTAAAGGAATTTATTGAAATAGGCAAACCTGTAATCACACAAAGTTCTGATTTGCAAGATATTGATGAAAATGGTATCACTATATCTAGAAAAACAACAATAACAACGACAAAGCAAGAATATGAAAGAACTTCAACAAGAACAAGAAAAGTTAAAATTATTGTCGAAACTGTTATAGAAGACGAATACCCAGATGGAACAGTTGTAACAAAAAGAAGTGAGAAAACATCAATTACTGATGTTTTACCAACAATGACAACTGAATCACTGGAAGAAGAAGATGCTCCAGAATATCAAATTGATGATACAGAAATAGTGGTCGACACTAATGATGAATGGGATATTAAGAAAGAAACTATCCTACAAGGCTCGATAACAGTTAAACGGACTATCACTACCCAAACAAAACGAGAAACTTTAGCTAGTGACGACCAAAATATTAAACGTGTACGAACTACGGTTGAGACGACTACTGTAGATGAATATCCCGATGGTACAGTCGAAACCACGAAAGATGTTAAAATTACAATATCCGAATATCAAAAAACAACTGACAGCGACCTACAGGCCGCTCTTAGAGGATTGACTTCCACTGGAAAAATCAAAACGTCAGTTGACAAACAATCGAACCAAATTTTAACAGAAAACAATGAAAGCATAACTCAAAACATAACAACCTACACCACAAAAGAAGAATTTAAGAATAACGAAACAAGTGAGATTGCTGTGAAAACCGTAACTGAAACGGTCACTGAAAACGTTCATAAAGATGGTACAATTGAAACTACAAAAGATGTTAGAACTCAAATCACATATCTGCCGCCCGGCACTACTCTCGATGATTGGTCACCAGAAGATTTAGAAAAAATTTCTTGCACACAAAAGACATCACTAGAAGATAAGCCGAAAATTGATGACTTAAACCTTGAAAACAAACATGGAATAAACACAGTGGAAAAGCCAAAGAAACAACGTTCTCCCGTAGGCGAAATAACAACGGACACTGAGACTTTTACGAAAGTTATAAAAGAAGGCGATAACGAAATAACTCAGACCATCACTGTTGTAACGACAAAAGAAGTCATCACTCCTGAAAAAATTAAGATCACTGTTGAAACCACTACTGTCAGTAAAGGAAACGATGGCGTTGTCAAAACTACAAAGTCGACAAAAACAACAATATCCGAAATTAAAGAAGAGTATGAAGAAATTATTGATACGGGCGAGAGTGAAAAATCCTTTTCTAAACTTTCATCAAAAACAGGAGAAATGCGTAGTTCCTCAGCTGCCAGCGATGACCTAGACCATCCTGGAATTTCAACGCCGCCCTCGGATATAAGTTCCAGAGGTTCCAGGGCAGCGACGCATGTATGGGGTACCGAAAGCAGTGGCATGTACTATAGTGACGACGATGGCCAAATGAGTCCTAGTAGTACAAAATCTCAAATCGCACACTCACCGCGATCAAACGTAAGCTTTGAACTAGATCCAAAATTACAGCTATCGGAGACTTGTCAAGATTTGCCAGAGGACAAGTCTGAATTTGAGTCCATGACATATAGAGAATCGTCACCATCCGTGCATTTAAGTCACATTGGTGATACTGATTCTTGTACATCCTCCACGCATTCCGAAGTGAAGTCTGAAGTTCAAGTTACTGATAAAATCGGCAAAACGTCGGAGAAAAAGGTAGATGATAAAAAACAATCATTTAAGTCTGATATCACATTCCTTAAAGAAGCCGATGAACATTTCGAAAAGGCCATAGAAGAACATAAAAAAGTCAGTGGATCTGATGTCATTTCAAGTATCACCGCTAAATATGAATTGGGCCAACAAAGTCAATCAAGCATGAGTCAGCAACTATCAACAAAAGAAGAAAGTAAAATTACATTAAAGGACCTCAAAACAGAATCAAAGAAATCGTCCGAGACAACTTCTTTCAGTACCTCAAGACAAGAATCAAAATCTAAAACTCAAAGTCAAAGCGTAGAAAAAGATCCTATCGAATCTTGGGGGAAGCCTTTAGGTCTACCTAGTCCTATTCAACCACCCACATCACAAGGGGATGGCAAAAGCACACCGAAAAAGCAAGGTCCCAGTTCAAACGTTCAAATCAAGAACAAGTTGAACCAAGAGAAAAGTAAAGATATGAAAAACAGAGCATCAGAGTCTCCCAGCAAAAAGAAATCTCCGAGCCCGGTGTACATGGAGCTTACGTATGTCCCTCACCACGGCAACTCCTACTACTCCGCGGTTGAATTCTTTAAGCGCGTCAGAGCACGGTACTACGTCTTCTCGGGCACCGAGCCTTCGAAAGATATTTACAACGCTCTTCTCGACGCAAAAAAGACTTGGGAAGATAAAGATTTAGGTAGGTTATATTTAACGTGTGTTACTAATGGGGAGAAAAACTGCCTTTTGGTATTTATAGATATAGGTTAGCATGATCAATAGTTACTGTTGCACTAAATATACCAGAAATATACAAAAGTACTCTGAGGCCTGTAGCAACAAATTCCGTAAAATTTCACTCAAAAATACGTTGGCACTGGCGCCACCTACTTAAACCTTTCAGTGTTTTTCCCCATTCGTTCGATAAGATCACATTCTCCCTTTTTTCGTATAGCAAATAATAATTTTTTCATCGCTTTCTATTCCAGAAGTGACTATCATTCCTACATACGACACGGACGTGCTGGGCTACTGGGTTACAGAGAACGAGGAGGCGTTGGAGAGGTATAAGATCGATCTGTCGCCGTCGGCCTCGCGCTGCACCATCAACCTGCAGGACCACGAGACCTCCTGCGCCGCCTACAGACTAGAGTTCTAAATGTCGGGACTATTTGTGGCATTCTCAGCGAACCAGTGAGCCGCCGATGTACGCATGCTTTTGAATGATGGAACCAAAGAGTAATTAATTGTCGTAGGAAATAAAAGGGCTGTGATAAAAAGAGGCATTCAAAAGCATTCGCATTAATCGATTCGAGCCACTCGTTCGCATGAGGTCGCTTACAAATAGATGTAATATACTTTGTGATATTATAATGCAAACAACAGACTGTTAAGGAGTTTGATAAATTAAGAGTAAGAACATAAACGATTAACATTTGTACGAGCTGCAAGCCTCTAGCTGCTAGCTGTGAGCTGCAGCGACCACGGACAAGCGAATCTTAAACGGCCAAGTCCTCCCCAACAATATATATCAATAACCAAGTATTCGACCTAAGAACAGAGACGTCCATTTTTTTCTAAAGATACCGTTTTCTAATAACGTCATAAATATTAACATGCCATTTAAAATATATTTCTGAGTATTTTTTAAATTTGGTCTTATACAATATGTAGAGCTTTTATACATGATATTTAGCGTAACCAGTCCATTTTGTTTAGCCAAAACACCGCTTATCTAAATGTCTAAATTTTTGAAAATTATTTTGCTAACGCATAAATTCTACATAGAGGATATTGTATAAAAAGTATTTAATATACGATTGTTTTTTAATTGAGCGCTTTATGAAAAGGACGTAACGATTTGTGCCGCTCCTGCGAGCTGCAACGCCCTAGAGGGGGCACCACCATCAACTATTCAACAACTTTTCTACAATTAAAATTTTAAATAAATATAAATGTATGTCTTATAAAGGCGTACTTAAACATGTCGTTTGTCGATGTCGACGCACTCTTTATATTAATGTTTCTTAGAACCAAGATAACTAAAGGAATCTAGAATGGCAAAGATAACTTCCTCATATTGAATTAAGTACAGTTAGGTTTAATGATTACGAAGTGAGATTCGTTTCCCAGTTACTTTACAATCCGAGCTTCCCTGCCATTTTTGTAGATATAATAGGTGAAGTGAGAGGCCGCCGCGTCCGAGATTAAAGGTAGTGACTGCTCGGGAGCCGCGGGTGCCTAGGACGGGTCTCACTGGGAGCAGCCTGCACTCCCAGTCTGGGATCCTTACCCGACACACGCGGCTGCGGGCGGACGCCGCGGCCCTCGCCCCGCACAGAAGTCATCTGTGTCCTTCTAGACTTACGACGAGCCTAAATCGATAGAGAGCTTAATCCATATAAAATGTTTTATTAGAACTATTTATTATTACCAAATGAACAATCTATTTACCTTTGTTTTAGTTGAGGTCTGCTTGTTGCCTATCGTCCCGAGAGAGTCGCGAAGGATGTTATTTGGACTGGCGCCGAGAGGCGAGCGATCAGTCTATGGTTATTGAATCTCTGTTGTTACTTTTACGTTGGTCGCGTGGATATTTCGCTCCGTTAACGCGTTGTTTATAAACAAATTTCTAGTCGTTTCGACGTATACTGATGTACTGATATTATTTCGTTCCTATATCCGATTACGGTGTGACTTTCTTTAACCTTTTTCAAAGGAATTTTAAAATAAATTTTGCTGTAATAATACAATGATGTTCTCAATTAGATATTTTCCTCCGGTGTTTGAGTTAGAGTGAGGTGAGTGCGTGACTTCATCGCCACCTAGCCTAGTGCGGCCATTCAGTTCTACTCCGAGTCAAGTTGAGGTTATAAGTCAATTAATTTTAAGTCATCCATAACATAAAGCGGACATGCCGCCATCCTCGCTTTCTCAGCCAGCCTCTTCTATCTATAGATAAAAACTATCAGTGTACTGGCACCAGCACAATAAATTAACTTTTAAAAGAAACCTTTTAAATGTTTTAATAATTATCGTATTACATATATATGTCTATATATATTTTTTATGTATCCATCTGTACGAATGAGATATTATTTTTAGGAGCATAATAATATAATATAGTATGTGTTTTATCGGTGTATTGATTGGTGTGAGCACAATGATATATATTTTGTTTATGTGAATTTACGCTTTATCTAGTTGTTTGGGCGGAACTAAACAGAGAGGTGTTTGATTTGTTACGAACGACTCGTCTTCGATGCATTCTCTATCTTGAGGAATCAGCGATAGCTCTTAGACTATTTTGTTACTTTGCATTAGTTAAAGAGACGTGTATCATTTGTTTTGCGCGTGTTTTGTTTTTGTAGTTTTGTCTAACTCTAATAGAATGCATCGCTGACGAAGAATGAATGAAGAGTTTCGAGAATGTTCCAATTAAGTTTTTGTCAAGGCTTCGTATTTTGTTAGCGGCGCACCGCGCCTCGCGAACAGACCCGAAACTTTACTATTGTATTTTATAGCTAGATCTCTAATTAATGCATATTATTAGGAATATTAAAATGTTGTAAAAGTAAGAATTGTATCAGCTTAGTGAACATCAATAGCTCCGAAAAATAAACCATTATTGAAATTATTAAATGTTGTATTCTTGTGACCTTCGCTTGTTCTAACCTTTTTAACTCTCCTAAATAATTGTTTAATTGAAACAATTTAATTATTAATTAAATACAATTAATTTGATTAAGAATAAAATTAATTAATTATTTTTTTAATTATTGATGTGTTATCAAATATGTTTATTCTAAATACATATTTTATTATTTAAAGATTATTTTGTTAGATAATGGATTGCTAAGAGATGTCATAGAGATTAAGACGTGTGTTAACACTGAGTGGTGCTAAACAAGGGGTGTGCTATGAAAATGTTACTATGCAATTTTTTTTTTATTATTTATGATGTTTTTTTTACTCTTTCATATAATTCAAACTAAATATAGATTACGCATAAAGAAATACTCTCAGATAAATATTTTAATTTTCTGTCAAAAAAATTAGCTTAAAATACTTCGTTTTTTTTTTAATTTTAAAAGAAATCCTATTTTTTTTTTAAATTTCATTTTACATATAAATAAGATTCGCTTTTTTTCCTTATTTAAGTAAAATTAATTCCACAAAATGTTAAAAAAAATGTGTAGAATCTGCTAATTTGCTTTTCGATTGATATGTTATTTAAATATATATATATATATTTATATATAAAATTGATAAGTTATGTTTTCTGTGTGTACTTATAAGAATGGTGTTTAATAATTTAAATAATGAATTAACTTCTTACGTAATTAGTTATTCTATCTATAACCGAAATGTGTAATATTAAATGGTAAAGTAAAAAAAAAAGTAAAAAATCCCTTACATTGTATCTCATCTTTTCTCCATTCTGAGTGTTTTGGTGGAAATGTAAGTCATTCAACTAATAAACATATTTCAAAATAATTATGCTTTTATTTTAGAAAAAAAATCTACTTAAAAAAAATTAGGAATAAAAAATTAAAAAATCCCCCTGTAGTTATATTACTAAAGTACACTTAGATATTAAAATTGCTTATGATAATGGCAATATTTTAAAGAGTCAAACCCCTCTTCCACTGTATATTTCTCTAATATGTAAACATCATTTCCACCAGCGCAAAGAGCATTAACGAAATTATAAGACACGAACTTAGTCACTTTCCGGTGGTTTGAGAGACCAAAATCTCTATATAAAATATTTTATCATCTCTGTCTTTCATCTTTGACAAAACAGAGATAACAATATATTTTAAACGCGGATTTTAGTCTCACAAACCTACGGTCAGTTGATTTGATACATGTACAATACTTATTTAGAAAATAATTGGATGAATGAAAGTTTTTTTTTTTAAATAAACAAAGGGGCAAACGAACCATGGACTGACCAGATAAACCTTACTTCAATTATTACCACATAAAAGGTTACGACTTAGGGGACTTCAAGAAAAGAGCGTACACCCTTAAAGGCCGGTAACGCCTCTGCGGTTTCTTTGGCGTTGCGGATGTCCATGGGCGTCGGATCAAATAATTTTAGTCGATTAGTTGCTCGTTTTCCACCTTGTCATATAAAAAATAAGTTTAAGAGATTTTTAGGAATAATAAATAATACAAAGATGTAAGACTAGATTCACAGTATTTATTTGGATAAAGAATTATTTTACTGGAACAAATTGTTTTAACTAACTTATTTCTTTGGTACTATTTTTTAAAACAATTGATTTAATATAAAACATTCAGCTATTAATAAAATATTAATTAGCGTACAATATAAATATAATAAATATTTATAGAATCGTACAGAATTTAATTAATTTTAATTGGATTTAAACAAAAATGTATTATAAAATGATTAGAAAATTTAATTTGTTTGCAAAAAAAATCCTCATATTTTATAATCAATATAAATGTTTACACTAATACAGGATGACAAAGTGAAATAATAAAAAAAACATTATTAATTTCCAACAAGAAATCTGAACTTGATAAAATATAAATTATATTTTATTTTACAATTTATAATTATTAATTATTTTATTACAATTTAATTAATATTGGATCATATTTTCAACACATCCTGTAGTTAAAATGATTTTCTACTTACATAATAATCTCAATAAATTACGTATAATATTTTATTTTAAATAAAAGCAATCTTATTGTTATAAAAATCACAAGACAATAAAAGCACACTTATTACAACCAAAATAAAAAAACATCTTTTCTTGAACATCGGAATTATTTTGGTAACAATTATAAATATGAACATCTATTTTTTTGGTCCCTCTCATATTGAAAATAAAACTATATTTTACTGTTTTATGGAAAAAAAAGTATAAACACAATTAGGTACCGTTTTAATATTTGTCTCACGAGAGATTATTTTATTTTAATTAGCTTAAAAATAAGATCCACTCTCAATAGACAAAAATTAATCGAACAATAACATTTCAAAGATACAAAATGCATTTTTAACTATACTAATGTTCTAATACTCTTGGAAGATTTTAATATATATTACAATTAATGAATATTGGTCATTGGACAATATTAATAGAACTTCAGTCAATTTTCTACTGATTACCATTTGTATTTGAATTTTGAGTCACGATTAAACAGTATGATAGTATTAAAGTTCATTTAGACAAATCGCAATCGTACGAACAACACTCGGCCGTTGCTTAAGAACGAGACAAACATAATGTAATGCAAAACATTTGTTTCGCTCTGAAACGACTGCCGAGCTTTGTTCGTACGATTCCGGATTGTGTAAATGAACCTTAAATGTCATACTTGTTCCACTATTGTTAAAGTATTTCTAGTGTTTGGTAGTAGTCTCACTTGAACCTCATATCGTCGGGCTTACGGATGAAGTAGGCGACACGGTCGACAGGGACGCGGTAGTCGTGCATCCAGCGGCTGCCCTTACGCAGCGAGCCATCGATGCCATCCTGCCACAGACCCGCCGGCAGGTACACTGTCAACAACAAAACCATTAAAGAAAAAGGTATCAAGATAAAGATAAAATCATAAAAAGTATTTAGCCCTTTGTATCTTTCTATTAAAAAAAATATATTAAAGTCTTACCTTCTCTGCTGGTCTCACCGGGGCGCAGCACTGGGGCTACCACCAGCTCGTCTCCAATGGCGAACTCGTCGCGCACGGATAGCGCGGAGTCTCCTCCCGTCACCAGCCATAATGGTCGAACCAGCGGCAAGCCCTCCTCCAGCGCTTCACGCTTGTATTTTAGCAAGAGGGGCGTTATCTGTAGAAATAAAATAATAGTCCACTCATAAGCAGAATACGTAACTAATAGAATGAACCAAAATTTTGGTAAGAGAAAAATTTCAATACTACTCACCAGTTTTTGTCTTAACAAAGTCAAATTCTTTGCCATTTCTAACACTCTCTCGTCGTTGTATTTACTCGGTAAATGAGTAAACTTCATCACGGGCAAGAAAGTTGCCATCTGCAGCCATCTCATATACAGTTCTCTCTCGGGCAAGTCTATTCCGTTCTCTTGAGTCGAGTTCGCTGCGTTAGATTCCATTAATCCTTTCGATGACGGCAAGAACTGCTCACTGCCCGGCCAGTAAATGTCACCGCCCACCGCACCGGGCATTATAAACGGATATCCGTTCACGCCATACGTTAACATCGTCGGTATAACTTGTCTCAAAGCCTGCCAAGTGGATTCAAACGGGGGTAAAGAAACAAAGATCGGTGGCCTCGGTAGAGACACCGCTGAGGACACACCTATTATATCTAAAGACTTTTCAAAGGTCTTCGTAAATATTGTCTTGTAATGATCGGGGTTGATCAACTGTTTCTCGCACTGGTAGTAATGCGGCATATCGTAAGCCGTGCCCAAGTCGAAATAGAACGAGTCTATGAAGTATTCGTCAATAACCGCCTGAAGCTTATCCAGTATCCAAGGAACTGAACGATTATTGGTGATGTCGATCACACCCGCGCTGGGAGAGGACTTGAACCTTGTCAGTGCGGGGATTCGGCGATCACCATTCCTTTCGTTCACAAGCAATCTCTTCTGCACAGTCTCAGCAAAGTTTTTGCTTTCCGTACTGACAAAAGGCTGAACCGTAAAAGTTACTTTAAATCCTCTTCTATGCAACTTGTCAACTGTAACATTCAATGTGTCGAAGCGAGATTTATCGACTGTAAAGTCACCTATTTCGTTCTGCCAGAATTCATTGATTAACACGTGACCTTGTTTTAGAAAGCCTAGGTTAATTACGTCTTCGGTGTATTTTGAAATTGTTTCTGCGTTTAATTCGTGTTTGAATCTCGGCGCGATTTGCCAAACCGGCTCCGATATCAGTGACTCTAAAGTCTGCATATCTTTCGGCTTCAACCCGTCCCACAACGGGGCCCTTCTATGACTATGTATAGAAGAATGCAGAGATTTCATATCTTTGGACGTACATATATTGTATCGGAGTTCTGGAAATTCTGTTACCTTATTTACGAATGCAAAGTCATCATATTTAGCTTTGAGGCATATCTCCTTCCTGCCGTTATTAATGGCGACATGCAGAGGTGTTTCATCATCGATGATTAAAGCGGCTCCTTTAGAATTAATGAAGTAGCGTGTCAAGACGTTACTCCATTGTGACTTTTGTATATCACCAGTGATGAAGGGAGTGAAGTCTATAAGACCGGTGTTGACAGGCCAGGTCAGGTTCAGTGATTGTCCGCCGCCATACCAGTGGACCTTAGTATCGCTCCAGTCAAAGCAATCTGTAGGTGCGATATCTGTAATAATACAATACTGTCGTTAGAATAGTTATTAATAGATAATTATACCATCAAATATAATGTGTATGTGACCTGAATGCAAAGCCTTCCAGTGTACGGAGTAGCAGGTAGTGTTGTCGAGACCGGGGTCGTGTGGCAGGCTCTTTAGGTAGAGTCTCAAGGCGCGCGCCCACTGCAGGCACTCCGAGCCATCGCCCAAGCGGTGCTCCGGCAAACACGGATACGATTTCTTCACACCCTCTAAGCTTACACCTAATTAAATAAAAACACTCTAATAAGTATTGTTACTGGCAGACTACGAGTTTTCCTACAATACGGCAATGTCACGTCTTTTATCTTGTTGTTTCACTTTAAAAACTTTTATATGACTTTTCCTTGTGTCTCTTTCTTAATTTATTCTTTCAACACGTCCATGAAACTAATGAACAATTGTCAAGGTGCGTTCGTCTGTTAATCAATGTGATTTATTACAATCAACAATCGAGGTAAATCTATTATAAAAGGATGGAAATGATCTTATTTTCTAGAAATATTTCTCACTAGAATAGGAACGTCCTATCAAAGTCTCTTTATTATACCTTTCCGGCACGTTTTTCTTTCTCTATCTTTTGCTACTAGCTGACAACCATTTTAATTACAATAAAACACCAACTGACCTAAACTAGCTCTCAGTATCTCAACTTCATCCTTATTGTAGATTCTGATGAGTCGCTTTGGCTCGTTGAACTGCACGGTATCAAAGTAGGCCTTGGTGAGTACCTGCTGATGGTACAACACATACGCGAAGCTGACGAAGAATACCACAGCGAGGAACATGAGTGCCACGAACGCACGTAGCTTGTAGTCTGTAGGTTTCTTACGCATCTTCTGCGGGATGCTCTGAAAGATATAGGAAATTGGTAATCTTTGTATAACGCAGAACTTCAGAGTTAGAACACAGCAGATGAATGGAAAATGATTTAACTGTATTCAAGTTTGTGAGTTGAGGTAGTACAAGTGACGAATAGGATATGGTGTTACTGGGAAATTGATAGAGAGATCTGGGACTTTTGGGGCGACTTATAATGTAATCAATCGAGAGATCTGCGAGGGTTTGTTGTTTTTTTTTTTCTGGTGATGGACACGGGGGAGACCATCACCAGGGACTAAGGGGTGCCTCCCCCCCGAGAGGGAGCTGCCTCGGCAGCTGGCGCAGACGGGGCCGCGGACAAGAGCGAAAGCGTGCCCGTGGTCCCGTCCCGATGCGTTGGAGGAACAGAGGGGTTTAGTGGGTTTGCCTCCGCTATGGAGGAGAATCCCACATAACTACCGCGTCCCCCCCGGGGCGCGGAGTATGCATAAAGCATTCCCCTCTAAAAAAAAAAAAGGGTTTGTTGTTTTGGAGACTTTGGTAAGTGTTTCGAACCTGTAGTTTCTCCTTTAACAAGCTGGCCAGTGAATTGACTGAGGTGACGGAGTTGCTTGGCGAGTAGTCGTCGTCATCCATGCTGAACTCAGAGCGGCCCAGGCGGCGAGCGCCCTTGCGCCGCGGCGACCGGAGCGGTGTCCTGTATGCACAACACTTTGATTAATCCCATTGCTTTTTGCTGAGGAATCATGTGTTTTGTATTTCCTTTCATTCTCTTTGATTAAACTTGATTGAAACACTCTGAACCACTGGAGATATATGCTGAAGTAAGCACTAGAAATGTGTTAACATGCCCATCTAGGAATTAACAATAATATGTAATAGTACAAGACTGTCGGCAGTGGAAGCGCACTGTAAAAGAACATCACAACTCGCACGGTGACGAGCGTAAGCAGTTACTGATTTTATTTATTTGTAGTTATTTTTCTCTATATCTGGATATATAAAAAGAAAAACGTATATAAATGTCTGTATGACCCTCACTCGAGAACAATGTCGCAGATAAATCAGCGTCATTTGGTAACGTCAAATGGCGTAAAGTAGCGTCAATTTAAATGTTGTGCAAGGTCACACGAATACTCGGATACTGGAAACGACATCATCATAACTGTCGTAATGAGGATACTGGCACTGACACTCACGCACACCCTCATATCTGCTGGAAGTGGCTCCACAAATATCATTCTACATAGCTACCAAATAGAATATTTTATTATTTAATACTAAAAAAACTCTCTAGAGATACCTTCTAACGAGCATCCATCCATCCACCCATACATCCAAACATTCGCATTTATAATATTAGTATGATTTACATGCAAACATGTCGAGATACGGGTTATGTAAATTGTACGCAAACTAATCAGCTTAAAAAATATCTAGAATCATAATATTGTTTAGCAATTATCGTTTATCGTTTAAAAACAAACACATCAACAAACAAACGCTTGATAATTATTTCAAAATAACTAAGAAAAAATGTTTTGTCATAAAAATGAACATACATCGTAAAACAATATATTAAGTTTAATATTAACCAATGATATCGTGTAGTTATTGTTGTTTGTTTTGTTAAATTATTATACAGTTTAATTGCAATTAATTATAATAGCTATGTAAATATTATTACAAATCCGATAAAAAAGTTAAAAAGATAATAAATACAATTACTTTAATAGTTTTAATCACATAAAGAATATTTAAAAGATTAAATTATCTCAAATAATAAAAAGGTATTCTTATTTGTGTTAAATTTTTAAAAAAGATGCACTTACAATTATTAATAAATGTTTCCACTAAACAACACTGTTTATAATATATAAAAAAATCTTTATTTCGTTAGAGAATTATTAAAAAAAAAATCCAATTGCACAGAAAAGTCCGTGATGAACACACGACCGTAACTGACCGGGCCAACGTTCGCTCGACGAGAAGTTCGCGAAACTACGCTCAGACTTGTTCTCATTCATATTATAATTATTTATTTTTTATTCATCTAATGTGACGTCATTATAATTTAATTTATGCCAGTATTATAACTGCTAATATTTTTAATTTAACCAATTAACTATAGCTTTGTAATAAATCTTTTACCATTGGTTTTTGAGATATATAAAAGATATCGTCTTTATCTTAGATAAAATAAAAAAAAACAATGTGATTTAAATGTAGATTTTGCTGTCAGAAACCCACGGTTACTCGTCTTGAGACATCTGAATAAAAACTAGTAAGTTTTTAGGTTAGATTACTAACTAGATTTCTTTAACTTTCTCTAGTATAAGCCCTTTCTCTAATACTGAATATGTAACAGATTTCTCGAGCCAATACAGTTCGAGTTCTCAGAAGTAGTCTTTAACAAAATATTCACACGATCATGTGTTTATTTTTTTTTACAATGTTGGTAACATCCGTTCTTTATACAAGGAAGTTTATATTCGTATTATTATTTTGGCAATATGCATTGGAAATATGCTACAAAAAGGCTTGTTAAAATTTTTACTTAAACAAAATACCTAGTGTTAATTACGCGTCAATAGCCTAATGGGGTTCGAATCCCGTCATATTACTATTGACGTAAACCATATACTAGCACAAGTCAAGAGCTTAGTTGGAATGGTAAAAGAAATTTAGTAAATTTACAAAAAAATCTGCTAAGATTTAAAAAAAAATTAAACTGTTTTTGGAATAGTTTTCGAAATACTTTTGCACGTGACATTCGAGAGAGATAAAACACTTTTAATATTTATATTAAAATTGCAATTTAAATTGTACTTTACGTCTTATATTAAAACTGATAACATATAGCTAGGATTAGGAAATTAATTACTCTAATTGGGTTTTAATTAATTTCATTAAATTAATTAATTTATTGTAGTTTTAACAATGCAAGTAAACTATTTAATTTAAAAGATAAATACATGAATAAAATGAAACCTTTCGTTGTTCAAACACAATTCACTGTCCATGCGATTAGTACATAACTGATTATAAATATATAAACTAAATCTAATGAATTCGCCTGACTATTCCTGTCAAAGTCTTTGGGAAATATCATAATAGAGTATCGAAAGAAATTTTATTTACTATACAATTCTAATTTTTATAACATAATTTAACAAATCTTACTAATGTTATAAAAATAAAGTTTAGATGGATGGATGTTTGTTAGAAGGTATCTTCAGAACGGCTGCATGGATGTCGCTGAAATGCATAGATGTAGAACATAGTCTGGAAGAACACAGTAATTCGTGTATTTTTGTAATACCGCGGAACGGAGTTGCGGGCGACGGTTAGTATGTTATAAGTAACATCAGTTCCTCTCTATATGAAATAAAATATAACAAACAGACATTTTAATTTTCTTTTAATATAATATTTAACTAATTAGGTCAAGATCTGTCAAAGAAACTTAATAACAAAAGTTATCGCGATGTATTTTATTACATGTCAACTTTGTAATGCCAAATGATTTTATTAATATTAAAAAGATACATTTCTAAACAAAATAATGCTTTATGAATTTAAAAGCAAATAATTTAGAAGATTATAAGCAAGAACTAAATAATATGGATGTCCAAATAGACGAAAAAAAAAATTTAAACGCAATTAAACGATCAAATTCAAATGTCTGCGTAATTAAAAAATTTAATTTCATAGCTGCACATAAAGTGTGTGTACATACACGTTTACAGTTTATTACATCAACGCAATTTACCTATGCGTAAACGGCCTAATCATTAAAAACGATAAAAAGAAGCACAAAAAAAAACAAAATTGTAACCTCTTACAATCTCATATGACTCCATTTATTATCTGTGTTCGCGTTATCTTAAGTACAGAATTCCCGCGCAAATCTGACAGTTGACAGATGAGAAATCGCGCCCTCTGATCACATAATGGCGGGCGATGTGTGTCAATTGGTTATTCCTACGCTGACCGGCGCGACATGACGCAGCGGAGATTCGCACGGGCATCGATTGAATACAAAACAAATAGTACTTTCTTTCTTATTTTTTATTATCAAGGTAACAATTTATATAATTTATTTTACAGATTCCATTTCTGTAATTACTAGCTAATGCTTATGACTATAGATGGTTTAGAAAGAAATGCTTTCAATTGATCTTTAAATCATAGGTATTCTATTATGGACCTATATCATAAGAATTTATTTAAATTTAAATCTTTAAGACCTACTGTTGATTATTTTCTATTTTTAAATTCTTAATTTAACAAACAGTACGCGTATAAAACTGAAACACTAGTAGGAAATCATTAAAATGTCCTAACAGATCTCATCGCATTTACTAACCGGCAAGGTTTACACAATAGAGCTGTTAAATTGGGTTACGACAAAGGGATCGACTATTAGGTGAACACAGGCGAGGCGAAAGATTGCAACCGGGACGGGTTCAACGACCGGATGCACTTCCTTATTAAGTTGTCCCTTAAGATTGAGTGCAGACCGCCCCCCCCCCCCCGGCCCGCACGACGCTGTGCCCTCCCCCCCACGCACGTCCTCGTATATACGTAAGTCTCTAACTGACCTAGCCTATCGTCAATATGTTCAAAAGAAAAGTTACTCTGCTTTTCCACTGTCTTCAATTTTGTATAAAATAAAGTTCATAGACGTTGTATGTATACAAATGTTTTGGCAGTGTAAACTCAAGGATAGCAAACACTCACTTGACTCTGTCGTCATCAGACATGACATTGCTGTCGTCCCCATTGCCGTCACTGAAGCCCGATGCAGAGCTCTGATGATGCTCCGGAATCTGGAACATGACAAACATTAATTAGAACGTTCATTTTCGCGAAGTCAGATATTTTTCGAGGGTAATTTTGTTGTGATCCTTAATTGACCTAGTGTGCTTTGCAGTCATTCGATTGATATTATTTTTTTAATAAATTTATTACCTTTTCTTACCGTTTTATACATACGAATGTTCAGGTTTTTGTTATAACGTATCTTCACCGCTTAACAGATCTCTGTGAAATTTGACAAAATAGCAGAACGTAGTCTGGAAGAACACAGCTTTTTATTAAGTTTAATTTTAATTGCCACGTGGATGGAATCGCGGTAAAAATCTAGTTAATAATTTTAAAAGCTGCCATATAAAATGTCATTCTTTAAAATAAGCTCACAGAAATACATTTAACGTGTGAATGCTTTAGTAGATACGGCAGAGAGAGGATTTAAATTAAACAGAAGGCCTGTCCAGAAAAGATAAAAGATAAATCTAACCTGCGTCAAGGGAATGCAATCAAAGTCTTTACGTTTGACGCCGCGCATGTTCTTTGGTGTCGTTACAGCGGGGAACTCAATTAATACTAATTACAATAACCCAGTCTTTAGCCTACAGTCTAGACCTTAGTCCGGACATGGGTCTATTTCAAGGACAAAACCCTACTAATTTAATTTTAAACAATTTAAATTAATTATTAAAACAAGAGTGGACAGAATCTCTGTTATCGATTTTTTTAAATTAATAAAGATTTTATTAATCAACTATATTATGTTTTTCATATAGTCTTAGATAATTATATATTTCGTAATACACGGCAACAGTTGGATTACTGAATATAGAAAGGTCTAGATCTGATGTAGATTACAGCCGCAAAATAAATTGGTTTTCTCTAATCGTTATAACTTCTTATTTTTCATGTAACGTAATAGTTGAAATGCAGTATTGTGCCACAAAATATCTATGTTTTTAAAATATGATAATCCGTTGATGTATAGTTTCATATATTTTAAGAAAATTGGAAGCAATTTTTAAAAAATTGACCAAAACTAACAACGCCATCTATTGCAAGACGTAGAAAATCTTTGATCACAAATAGCTGCGTATTATACCTTTCCTTGCACTAGATGGCGCTGAGACTGAAATATAAATTTAAGACATTTTTAAATTTAATTAAAAAGTTCCTTGTAGTTAGCTCTGTAGTAGACCTTTATTCGCACAGATGGCGCTTGTAAGAAAATCTAAATTTAACCAATTTCAAAATCTTTACGTGCAAGTAGCTCCTTAGTGCATCTTTATATGCATAGATGGCGCTCATACTGAAAGCTAAATTAAACCAATTTGAAACCATGTTATTTTAATAATAAATACTAAAATAATAAACCAAAAAATTATAACAGATATTGTCAAAAGAATGATATACAAAAGCAACGACTATTGAATTAAGCAAAAAAATTAAGATAAAACGTATTGAGACCTTGGAGTCCAGATAGTTGTTGACACTACCAGAGCTGTCCGAATTGCTGCTGGCAATACTTCCATCACTGCCATTGAAACTCCTGCCACTACCACTACTCTTGCTCAAATCCGAATCTGATTCAATCCAAAGCGGCGATCGATATTTGAACTTGTGAGCGAATGCGTTAAATCGAGACTCGTTATTCATTTTTAATTCATAATTATTTAAAAATGACAATTTTTTAATTTATTTTAAAATCTGCACTTTTACAATTAACTCTTACACTTTCAATCTCACTCTTATAATCTAAATACTGTCTGAATGTTATTTTGTTTTTTTTTGTATTATGATTGCACAGAACATTAATACTTGCTTGTAGTTTGTTAGAAAGGTTAGGTACGAGAACTAAGCGTGTGCGGGGTCTAAGATCACGGACAAATTCAAATGAATTGAATGTAGGCAAATAGGTCGCCTGCAGGGGATTGACAACTTCGGCACTTTATTTTTTTATTTACACTTAAATATTTCATTGATAATTTAAATTAAGGAACTCATTCTTTGTTCAATTTTCAGGATTTCGTGGTTTCTAAAGAAAAAGTTAAGTTCTTAATCTCTTTATTCTTTTTTCTTACTTGCATAGAAGCTATTACATATGTAATTCGTCGTTAATTTGGCCTTTATTGTGAAACAAGAAAGTAAATAGTTTTTTTATTTCTTTATTAGTAAAACACGATGGTCTATGTTTGAGCATGATTTTAGCACATAGGTCGTTGACGTTTCTATCTAATAAATCTAATTGGTTTAGTTTTAAACATGTTTTACAAAATAACGATAAACAATTTGATACGATAATAAGATAATTGTTTATAGGCGTACATTAGAAAGAAATGTGCCTAGTCAAACAGGTTTCTACAGATATTCAATATCTAAATCTTTTAATACTATAACAAACTCGCCTAAAACAGTCAGTGGCAAATATGTGTACGCAGAGATGACGTAGGAAATAACGTATTTCGCATGTCTTATCATTATGTATATACGTATTAATAAAATTAGAGTGTCGGTGTGTAATATAGAAACTTTTTGGCTGTCTGCAAGGTCGTGTTTGATCGGGTAATCTGAACGGCTGGATTGATTTTGTCGGGACTACGGGCTACTTCTTTTGCGCTGGCGAAGTCGTGGCCAATCGCTAGTTATACATAAATTATACTTAATATTTTTAATGTAAACAACTCTTAGAAGTAAAAATAACAATTAAATAAGACACTGTCATGTCCAAACAATACAATATGCAAATGCATAAAACTAAATACAACTAATTTGTTAAATAATCATTAAGCTTTATTTTATATCAAAATATTAATAAAATTTACCAATAATTTCTCTTTATATCAAAAAAATATAACGCAAAAACTTTAATGCCGAAGTTGAGCATCGCGAACGGATGTGGTCAAGCAATTTTGATAATCTGTGTGCGGACTGCGGAGAGGTCTACCGTCTGTCAGTGTCAGCACGGCCAGCGGGATACACTGCAAGGTCCTCCGAAACGTACGTAATTAGGGCTACCAACTTACAAGAAAAAACTACATTTGACTAACAAAAGGTTAACAACTTTTGACTCTGAACAAATATAACACATGAAGACGTAGCAGTCCTAAACAATTAGTGTTACTGCTAGTTTATTTAAAAAGTAATTTCAGGTAAACTAAACTTCGCCAATCATAAAACAGTTCTATTCGAACTATATTTGCTAACATCAATACCTCTATAATTTTCTTTTATGTAACTTTACGACTACTATTTTTTAAAAATGATATCAGACTATACTATTGTCTGATAAGCGTCGTCAGCCCATCATCTAGGCTAGGCCTGGGGGGAGGTCAGGCTAGATCTCCCCACCATCCCTGGTGACGACCGCTGTCGTACGCGGTATCATTGAATATGCATACTTATTTATTAATTCGCGTCTTGCAACGTTTATCAAATTATATAGTTAAATTCGTAGTTGTCTTGTGTTAACATGTTATATTGATTAGATAATTGTTATTATGATTTACAGATATACGACTAACAGCGTTGAGGTCAACTGATATAACATATACATACTTAAAATTTGACTCTTTATATACAACGTCTAAGCTATTATAATTCTAAGAAAAGTTTATAAAAGAGAAGTTATTTAAAAGCATAAACTCACATTAATTTTAGCTTCCTTGTTCGTTCCTTCGAAATTTTTAATTTCATCGGGCATCGAAATTGAGGCTCTTTGTAATTTTCTATAAACTACAGGGCTGTCACTACCAATTGTTACATCAGTTTTCTCTTCATCTTTATCAGTCTTACTTTCAAATGTTTCAGCGAATTTCACTTCAGGTGTGGCAGATCTTACTTCAGCGGAGTCTGTGAAATTAACATCAGACGTTCCTGGCTCATCTTCATCTATGTATTTAATATCGTTCGGTGTACGATTCGCTTCGAGAATAAGTCGCTTAGTTTCCGGAGGAATTTCTACGTAATCTTGAGGATATGAAGGAATGTGTAGTTTAAGATCTGGTTTCTTTCTCATCCTCATTTTGCGTTATCAATTATCTTACAAATATTGTCTCTGCACGTTCAGTTTCAATAGATAAGTTATCTTGTTAATTCAAGGCGGCGTGGACATTATAGGAAATTTTACATAACCTTGATTTCACATGGACTACAATTGATAATTAAATATACTAATTTATTACTTGTTTAGTTTAAATTCGCTATTGATATACACAGATCTGTACCTGCGTAAGCGCACTACACTATACGTGCTACTAAAAAATATCGCAAAACATTTCTTTTTCTTTATCAAACGATATCTTTGATTATATCACGTGGTGTTATGATAGTAACAAAGTCGAATTTAAATGTTTACTACACATTCGATTAGATTTTAGTGTTCATTGGACACGAAGGGCTGCGATACTTGAAGAATCTTGATTAATTCGTTCGGAATTAAGTTCAGTTTTGGTTAAGTCCAGAATATCCTTCTTGACGTCTTCAATTTCACAAAATAACAAAATCATATAAATCACAAAATTCTCGAAAATTTTTGTGTTTACTATTTAAATAGCTTATATTTTTTTTTACTTTAATAAAAACTATTTGCTATTTTGTAACAGGCATAAAATACTTCGAAACAAATTTTGAAACAAAAATCTTTATTTTAAATGAACACACGTAACAATGCAGTTTTGATGTAATTGTGACATAATTGCTGTATTTAACAAAAGAAATTCATAAATCTGCAATAGTTTGAAATTTTTATTTATTGAAGATAACTGTTATAAGATAAAAATTGTGTTTCTTTGTTCTTTTTATCGCGTGTATTAAAACCACAACCTACATTTAGTTGTTGGTTTAATTAACAATCTTTTGGAATTAAAACCGCGCCTTTCAGATATGAAAGTTAATCCAACAGATAACATAGAAATGTGCAATCAATTTTTACCACTAATGATCGCACTCAGAGTCGTTATGTGGTCTTAGGAAGACCCTTAATGTAGATTTCCCATACATCTAAACTGTGGTGAACCACTGAACGAGATATATGCGAAAGTTTGGGTACATATATAATATGTTACGTGTAACTTGAAACTTTAAACTTAATATTTTCAATGGAAAAAGTATAAATAAGTAGTAAGTAAGTAGTAAATTAACACGTTTGCTTTTAGTTTCAGCTTTTTTTATTATTTTTATTTATTAGATTTAGAATCTAGGTAACAAACTCAATCCTAGTCTAATAGCTACAATTCTAGTACCTAGTAAGATGCTATATACCTAGATGTATCACCTTAATCTAATCTCTTACGTCTCGGCTTAACGCGTTATACAAACAGAGCGAGCACTTCGTTAATACATAAAGTCTATTTACATACGTACGTACGTTACGTACTGTACATAATATACTGTACGGGGTTAATAAGGGCTATTTAAAAATGTCATTTGTCTGCGGATTGATTGGACAAAAACTTTGAATGAAATCGGCTAACGTGGTCAAATTCTACGTGTACTTAAAACTATATGATTACTTCGTGTTAAGGAAACATCTCGATTTTATTTAGTTAAATCTATTGATATATGAACTTAAGGAATATAGAACTAAATTATAATGTTAGTTAGTCCTACAAATAATATATACTAGAAATCTCCCGCGAGTCCTACCGTGCTGAATAAAAAAAATAACCTAATTAGTAGTCTACGTGTTTTGCCAAACTAAATTCTACATCTATGCCAAATTGTAGCGAGATCCACACAGCCGTTTTGGAGAAACTCTTTATCTATAACAAACATCCATCCATCTAAGCTTTCGCTTTTAACATTCGCATTATAATATAAGTAAGATTAGACTCACCCCATCCTCTGGATTGCCTAAGTAATGCTGCTTTAAGACTTCCGATTCCAAATTTTGTAATGTTGGCATTGATATAGAGTTCCTTCTTAACCCTGCTCTTCTTTGTTCTACTTCTTTCTCCATAATTATCATGTCATTTGACTCCTGAGCACCGAATGCTTTGGATGTGCTCGGAGATTCTGATACGTCAGTAGACTGAGTATTAGGACTTGTCGGGGATGACTTTGATTCAGGATCTAATGTAATATACAAAGTTCCTTCAGGTGTGTTTACCACTATTGTGTCACTGTTAGGTGTGTGAACTGCCCCTAAATCTTTGGCATGTATTTTGTCCTCTTTCAGCGTCTGTGGTTTCTCATCTTCCATCTCATGTTTTCGTATGTCAAGTGTTTTCGGACGTGTCGTTTCATTTTTAACTTGATCGAGTTCTACACATTCGTCGACAAAAGGTATTGTTTTGTTTGATTTCAGTTCCGGAGAATTTAAACCTTTTGCTACTCCTTCGAATGGATTGTTGGGTGCATTGTTGGCCATTTTTGATTAGTCTATTTCATAGTAGATATCTGTAAAAATAATTATTTGTAATTTAATTAAATAAATAAGTAATATTTAAATGTAAAGTTTATTTTAAATTTAGTTTTAAAATCACGTTGTAATGAATACATTAAACGGTCAACGGCTTAAAATAATTAAGGATACTTTTTCATGTTAAATTAAATAACTAACTTGATTGTTAAGTATCTGAGTATATACAAAAAATTACTTTACCTCTCAAAAAAAAAATCTTAAAAATAAACTTAAAATCACGACATTCAAGTTAAGATTAAGTAATTCATTGTTTTAACTTTAAACTAAATAACTTTATAAGATGTTACGACAATTGTAACATAGCAAAACTAAATTGTGCACCTGAGTTGTTTGGAGTGACGGTTCGGTGATTAGCGGCCGCCATATTTGTTGTGTGATTCAATAAAGGCGGGAAAACCGATGTCATCCGGACGTCAACACGTCAAAGTATTTGTATGGATGTGTGTGAAGTACATATTGAAATTTAAATATTATTTCTATAAAATTCCCATTTCTCCATGTGTCATTATGCTTAAGAAATGGATAAAATTATTTTTATTTACTCTGTAGTATGTATGAGATAAACCTTTGTTATCATGTTTTAGTTTTACTCTTGCGATCTTTAGATATGTTACATTAAAACCAATAAAATTAAAAATGGTAATTAAAAATAACGGGGATAGGCATAAATTTTCACCTAAGTATTAGAAAATATTTTAAGAGTCCTCAGAGATATTTAAGAAATCCTCGGCACAAGGTCGCACAGTAGCCGTGTGTGCGCAGGCTTTAGCAGAAATCTGTTGACAGTTTAGTGTACGTCACAAATTGGTCCGGTAGATATTTACTTTTGTATTACAATCGCTGCAAAAGTTAACATAAAGCTGATAAATATATTTTTTCATCAGAAAAAGATATGGTTAACAGAAGTTATTGTCAGCCAGCATTTGCTAGCCTTATTTTAAAAAGTAAACGGTCAAATTTATTAAAATTACACACTAAAATTCAACCTAATTTTGAATTTCGAATTAAATGAGTAACGTCGAATTCAGTTAACCAAGTAACTGACGCCCGCGAGTTCGTCCGCGCGGAATAAAAAAAAATAAGTAGCCTATGTGCTTTTCCAGATTATGTTTTACATATATGCCAAATTCCATCCATCTAAACATTCGAATTTATAATATTATTAAGATAATAAGATGTAACAGTTTCAGTTCTGCCAACCGTGTGGCATCAGTTTACTGACCTCATCATACGTATATAAGGAAACGTCCTCGCTATATGTTTTATCACATATTACGTAAACATATAACCAAATTATATACTTTTGTGTGGATACAGAATACTATAGTTAGTAATTAATATCTAAATACGATGTCTTATTATCCGACTGACTGAGGATAGCTAAAGTAGGGTTTCTTGGTATTTAAAGATTTCGACACGATTTAATATAGTTACTTAATGAACTTCAAGTTATTATATTTCAGGCTTCAAATGATTTTTTTTATTTTCCTATAAAGAAGAATTGCAAATGTTACTATGAGTTTCGACAGTCGATCACCTGTCTAAAACATGTTGTTATCTCTGCATTTATCAGAGAAAATTGGAATTATAACAACACTAGCTGTTGCCCGTGATTCCAAAACGTGATTAGTAGCCCAAATTTCATTGAGGTATCTTCAGCCGTTCTGAAAATACCTTCAAACATCCATTCATCCACGTAAAAATTTGCATTTACAATTTTAGTACGAAATAAGATAAAATTTTGTACATTGCCGAGGTTTTCAGACAGTGGAAACCCACGATAAGCAACATTATTAAAAACACTTACTTGTTTATTTTCCGTCGAGTTTCCCGAAATATATTACCAACACTCCCCGAAATAAGGTTGTTAAGGGACATTGTATAAAAATTTAATAGTATACCATGACATAAACAAATAAGGCAATCAAAATGATAACAACTACGGCGTAAATAAAATAATCCAAATAAAAAAAACACCAAAAACATTTCACATTGCCACTTGGTAAACCATTTTCACATTTCAAATTTATTTTAAACATGACAAATAAAAAAAAAACACAAAAAACTTAAAAGTAAAAACAATTAAGTCGTCTGTAAATGTTAAGCTTTACTGATAGTTGATTTAATATTAAAAATACCTCATAATTATAAGGATATAAACGCGTTATTTACTATTAATTTATAATATTTTTAGTACACTAATTAAAAGCAGGAAACGTGCCCACCGGGTTACATCACACACCTAATGAACACTAACAATAAATCCGTTTGCATTGCTCACGCGCTCCACACTGCTAATAGTTAACAAAACTCGTTAATTTAATTACAACTCACAGAATTACCATTTTTTAACTCTTCCACTAAAAATCATTAACTAAAATATGCTATAGACAAAAGGATGTGAAGTGGATAAGTATGAAACTTAGGCTTAGGTTGCTTTCCGCGGACGAGAGCGAAAGCGTGCCCGTGGTCCCGTCCCGATGCGTTGGAGGAACAGAGGGGTTTAGTGGGTATGCCTCCGCTATGGAGGAGAATCCCACATAACTACCGCGTCCCCCCTGGGGCGCGGAGTATGCATAAAGCATTCCCCTCTGAAGAAAAAAGGCATAGGTTGCTTTGGTCAATGTCATTCACCTCTTCATTCAGTTAGGCTTGCCTAGGCCATAGTCAACCACGCTGACCCAGTGTGGGTTGACTTTACACATATCTATGAATGTCTCCTCAGATACGTGCAGGTTGAATCCCGATGTTTTACCCGAGAATTTTGAAATCACGTGTAACGGAATCGCGGTTACTTTACTGTAGATATTTGATGGTTTTTGAGATTTATAAGTTTTTTACTCGAAGTAGCTAAATCTTCAAACCATATATGTTCAGTTTCCTTGGTCCAATTTAGTAATGAAGAACCAGTCTCGAACCATTCTTTTGTTCACAACAAGGCAGTTTACTTAACGCGTTGTAATGACATAAAATTTGAGCGCAAATCGCTTCTCATTACGCGAAAACTCTTAAGAAACTATACGTTCATTGTCTCGGCTTATCTCTTTGTTAATAACACTGTTGGAGATGAGTTAATGATTCAAATAAGAAATATATAGATGAAGCTTAAATTAAGTCTAGAATTTAGGGTAGAATTAACCTACAGCGTTGCTTGCATTTTCCTGCAAGAGTAGACTAAATACCCTACTTACTAAACTAAATCTTTCGACAACTTAACCACTTAACGTCTAGTGTTGAAAATGCTCTGCTTCATTCATTGTAAAAAAATACAAAGAAGTTTATATATGCCTACCAATTTAAAATAGTTAGGTTTAGTGGAAATGCCAACTGTTTTTGTTTCAGGCACTTTACAACCTATCTTTATATATATAATTCTTCTGTGAGTGTGTATGTCACTGAACTTCTCTCAAACGACTGGACCGATTTTGATGAAATTTTTTGGGTGTGTTCAAGGGGATTTGGGAATGGTTTAGATTCACAATTTTGTCCGCTGGACAATGTTTTTTTAAATAATTTTTAATTTATTAGTAGTTGTTGATTTTGGAATGTTTTACATTGGATCCGACAGACGGCGCTACCATCATTAATGCAAATTAAAGACGTGTAGACACGACAACGTTCGCGGGTCCGCTAGTATATCTATATAGCCGGATCGAAACAATTACTATATAATTCGGTCGCGGCTCTAGATCAGAGCAGTAGATTATTATAAAAATCAAAATATTACAAGAATATTTTCATGAGTTTGTTGCGCTGCGTTAACGTTAACCGAGGTTCATCACATATTAATAACAATTATATTAATCCTGTTTCAGATACAAAGATAAACACAAACCTCGTGTTCTTCACGCAACGCTGAAGCGAGATTCACAAGGCGAGCATTGTTTTATAGCGCGCCGTTACATTGGTATGTAAATCGCACCTTAACCACGTGCTTTACACGTAGCAACCTACTATATAGACACATGCATCCTTTTACAATAACATATGCGAAGTCCCAATAATGAAAGACCCGGAGAGGTCTGAAACTAGTCGTTCACATAGATTACACAATTAAGCCGCGATTAAAGTATTTTTTACTGGAGGAAATTTATTTATGTCAGCTCATGCCCACGCCATGTTCTAATGTTCCATGTTCCATTGATCGTCAGTGGCTCAATGGTTAAGCATTTGACCTGTAATGTGCAGGTCCCTGGTTCTAATCACGCCATATACCATAAGTGTGTATGTTTTGTTTTCTTTTAACATTTATCCGACGTTCTTATGTGGAAAGAAAACATCAAGCAACCTGTACATATCTGCGCAGTAAAGGGACGTTACGAGTTATATCGCTGACCGTACTCTAAGGCTTAGGTTCTAAGTATTGTGACTACACTAGTAATTTAATATTCCGTAGCACGTCAATGTCGGAGACATCGTGCGTCCTACTTGCATATGGTTAACAAATTCGCTGCACAATGATACAAATTCATATTGACATTCGGAGCTAAAATTGATCTGTTTAATAATAACATAACTTACATACTGCATGCATTAAACTACATTTAAGGATCAGGTTCACAATTAACTAGTTAATTTACTACTGCTAGCAAGCAATAAACTACATAATTTTACTTTTTAATAATATTATAAATGAAAATGGTTAAAATGGATGGATCGATGTTTGTTAGAAGGTATCTCCAGAACTGCTGCACAGATCTCGCTGAAATTTGGCATAGATATAGAACATAGTCTGGACGAACACATAGACATACAATTAGTTTTTTTTAGTTCCTCGTGGACACACACAGCTAGTGATTAAATGAAAATAATGGATTATAATTTTTAAGTTGTTGAAAAATTTTACATTAAAAACAGTTATTTTCTTATTCAGTAGGTCTTATCTATTAAATAATTTAACTTCGTCATTCTTGTCATTTTCATTCATTATGATAACGCCATAATTCAGGCTTCGAAATGTTTAATTTATCACTTTATGACACTAAAAATAGATGTTCAACAATTTTGCTCGCGAATAATTTTTATTCTCCTTGTAATATAATATAAAAGCAGTTTGAAAGTTTTTGTGTTTTTCTTTTAATACTTTTGCAAAAATATATTCCGATAGTTTCTTTACTTTTACTTTTAACACTTGAATACTTAATGTCGGTTATTTCAAAATTGTCTTAGGAAATCAAGGGGCAGTAGGTTTCTGAACCCTGATTTTTCAAGCTAAAATTAAATTTATGTTCAGTTCTTAAATGAACAGTGGTTAGAAGAAATATCATCTCTTTATTTCAGTGCAGTTTTTCAAACTTGAAATTAATTAAAAATCCTTTTAAAAAATACAGTTGTTCGATTTTTTTATCAGTTTACTAAAATATCTTGTTTCAATAAAATAACTTAATTTAATAAATAAATAAATCCAACGTACCACAATTAAAAAACACAAAATTTCACACACACTCACTAACACCGCGCCTAAACCTTTTGAAGTTTAAAAAACAATTCGTAAAATGGCGGGTTGCAATGCGCGCGCGCAAACCACACTGACCCGGTCTTATCTATCTTATTACCAACAAACTGTAACTTAAGTTGTCTATGGAAAAGGTGACCATGAATTTATGGCCTGAAACAAGATTAGAAGGACAATTTCCTCACAAAATAAAACTAAGGCAAAGATTACCTCAATACGAGATGTTTTGTATCTCACTGTTCAAAGGAAAGTGACGAGGAAAACCTTTTAAAACATAAACAGATTTACAATTTTATTGTTGTCTTCGTTTTCTGTTGTGTAATTTTACGCTCTTTTCCTTAAAATAACATCGAGTCGAGATCAAAAAATATAAGGAATCCGTCCGATTAAAACATAGATAGTAGTCGATTCTCAGACCTACTGACTATAAATACGAATTGGTGATGACACCAAAATTTTATATAAAACATAATAAGCTCGCTCTTTACATTACTTATCTTATTAATATAATATTATAAATGCAAATGTTTAGATGGATGGATGTTTGTTTGAAGCTAACTTCCAAACGGCTGAACGGATCACCATGAAATTTGGCATGCATATAGAACATAGTCTGAAAGAATACATAGGCTATACTAATTATATTTATTTTTAATTAGGCGCGGACGACCACTCGTCTTTATAAGGACTGTGTAAATTCCCAACGGATATTTTGGTAATGATTATAGGATTAGGATTCTTACGTTTAAATTTCAAGGAATTCCTTAGAGCGACCTACATTTCTTCCCACAGGATCATTTGTAGCTTACTCTAATGTTACCTCGTCCTTCCCGCAATTGTGATGTCTGCTCACTGTCTACACAGGAAGTATTAATATTACACATAAGTACGAATTAATATCTTCAGACATACTGACCTTTATATGATTGTGCTTTATCCCATAAATATTCTTTACTTGAATTATATTTTACTTTGAATGACAAACAACACAAATTAAATGCGAAAAACAATCTTACTTCTTACTAATATTGTAAATGCGAATATTTAGATGGATGTTCGTTATTATGTGTCTCCAAAACAGCCAAATGGATCTCACTTAAATTTAGCATAGATGTAGAACATAGAAACACCGCATTGGCTAGTAATTTGTTTTGTTATTAGTTCCGCTCGAACGGAGTCGCCGGCGACAACTAGTCTCAGTACAATTGTAATCGTAAAATCTTAGAATCCAAATTTGAATAATTTTATTCCAAGAGGCTATTATTTTATACGTCACCTACAGATTGCAAATTTTTACCGAATTAGTCAAATTATAAACTGTCAGATTTCGAACTGGAGAGAACGAAATATTCGCAATGACGTTGATAATGTTTATATACATGTATTTTGACAATGGAAACCCTACAGTTGTACAGATCGAGTGCAGACGTACTTGTTAGCGTATGTTATAGAAATAATTAAAAGTAAACAAACGTTAGCGTTTCGTGATTGTCGAGTTAACGCGGCGCTGATGTGAGGTCACGTGCATTCAATAAACGACCTTAAACTCAATAGCATTAGACACTTATTAGCAGTGATAAATGAATTATAAAGTATAGAATATACAGTATGATTTATAACTCGACTAATATTTTTTTTCCAAAATAAAAAATTATTTAATTTTTTTTTATATTTTTTAAACATATTTTTTTGCATGTGGTTTTGTATCTTTTGTTGGACAGAATTTATTAAAGGTGGAAATAAAAAAAAATGTAGTTTAATACAATTTATTTGTTTAAGCGAAATCTATACATACAGATTTAGTTTACGACATACATTTGTGACAGACATACAATATCTATAATTTATACATTTATACTATATTAAAAGTTAAACAGGAATGTAAGTAATGTTAACATTTCCTCACAGTATATAAAACTTCACATGTAAATTTAAAGTAATTATAAAAGTTTTCAGAACAAATATTTTTATTATAAAAATTCCCTACAATATTATTTTTAAAGTACATTTTAACCGTTTATTAAGATGGACATAAAAAAACAAAAAAATTGTTACATCTGTAGTTACATATACTGTGACACTTATTACGATTTATTACAAATATATTGATAAAAATTTCCACTTATTTTATTGCTCTGTGGTCATAGGAATTTTATACTTAATCTATGTTAACTTTAAATAACAGATTTTCATAAAGTTGCATAAAAATTATGACATGACAAAATAATATGAAAAAAAATGTCTTTTGATTAAGTTTTGCCATAAAATAGAACTTACATTTTAATTATAGTTTAATCGATAAATTAACTTGTACATATATTTGACAGATTAACAAAAAAAACGTCACTTAATCACTAAAAACGTTTCGTTACACGTAGCAAAATAAAACAAACTACAAAAAATATTAAAAAAGAAAAGTTTAAAAGCTGCTTTTACATTATTATATTTATTAAATAACTGTATTTAAAAGATTATTTTTATTGCACTTTTTTATTTTATTACGAGGCAAAAGTTATTAGATGATGTACGGAAGACTACGAAATCTATTGATCATGCGCTAAAGTTGGCCATCCCTGCATCAATTCCGAGTAACAAATCCAGATGTAAATAAGAAATAAGTCTGTGTAGTCGAGGAAATTTATTCCGTACCCATCGGTGAAATGACACGCAATGCTACCGAGACTAGAAAACTATTTTAATATACTGAATGAAACCTTCCTAGCATTAACATAGTTTTTTTTTAACGAAAATGCATTGATTTAAATGTTCAAAATATGAGACACTGATTATAATTTCAGATTTGCAATCAATAAAGCTTAAGAAAAAAACAATTAACATTCACCATAGTGTAAAAAAAAGTAAAAAAAAAAAGAATTGTTATTTAGGATAAATGTAAGAAATGTTTGTATAATATTTAAAACGCCTAAACGATGCAATATGGCACCAACAATAAATATAATATATAGCTAATAATAATAATAATAATACTGCCACACAATACATGTCATATGTTTACATTCGTCTACACATACATAACACATACAAATATATAAGAGATGGACTTGATAATTGATAATGGAGATGGAACGACAGCTAAATACTCACATATGTGTGTCCGGTATCGGCACCGGACGAATATACGTGACTTTTCATATAAGTTTATTATCATGTTTCACGAAATTTGGAATAATTTAATAAGAGAGATTGCTTTCAGGTAAAATATATTCGTCTCAAACAAACCTATAGTTCCCAAAATAAGATACATTTTTAAAAATAACAATCATACAGGATCATAAACGACTGTTTTTTTTTTAATTAAGATATTAAATTAATTTGGTTTAATAAACCGATCTAAAAATGACAATAGCAATTGGATACTATGATGTTTTGAATCAAATAATTTTTATACTCTGTTTTATACAAAGTATTGATTTCGACCATACTAATGCATACAGGATGTTGATGAATATAATTTGGAATTATAAGTATTTTTTGAACCTGCTGTATATTTTTAAGACATCAAATCGTAAATCTTGACGTAAATATAAAACAAGCCATCAGGTTTGAAGTATTATAAATGATTATGTGATAGTTATAATAATTTGACATATTTAAAGCTCTTTTAAAATTAAATGTGATAAATAAGTTCGTTGATAAATTTCATTTAATTTAATTTGTCATTGATATCGTTTTAGATGTAAAATGATATAGGGTGATTAAAATTTTATAAAAAAAAACAACAAAAACATTCAAAAATTTCCTTCTACATCTGATTCGTATTTGCGACTTCAACACAAATACATGACTGTTTATTAATGGTTTCCCACTGTTGACAAACTTGTAGAGAAACATATTGCCATCCTTATCATTCAAGTTTTCAACAGTGAAATTTCATTATTAATCGATCGCATTCAAAAGCCATTCTTAATTTCAAACTTATTAGAATGCAATAAAGTTTAAAATGCATTAAAACAACAGCTATGCAATATATTAACGAGATATGTTTATATATAACTACGTCTATATTATAACGATATATGTATAGTACGACAAAGTCATCTGGCCCAGTGAGAAGGGTCATTAATTATATAACACCTAAATATGTATAGAAAATGACAAAACACACGACATGACAACTACAGTACGACAAGGATGTCATGATACTTTTTTGACATTGATTGATCCTAATTTGAAGTCAAAGGTGAAAGTCTGAATCCGCGAGGCGCGCTGTAATCGCGGTTGCTTAAAGAACATGGGTTTCTGAGACTTAAATCGCCGTTTAGAACATATTATCTGTGTTTTGTTAAAGATGACGACATGGATTATGATGTTTTATACAGATTTCAGGCTCAGAAACCTATAGTTAGACAGAAAATAATAAAAGAAAAAATGATATGACAGCTACAGTATAAAGAGGGTCTTGTGACTCATTTGACGTCAACAGAGGGGGCGCTAGTGAGCTGTCATAATTTAGTTTGTCTAATGGTCACTGGGCCAGTTAACTTTGTCAATATAAACAATTTAATTGCCGTCACATTGGCAACTGTGTTACCAGTATGTTGCGGACAGATTATTCATAAATATACTAAAGTTTATTTTGTCTATGGCAATCTAATGTTGAACTGTCATGTTACATAATACACCTACATCTATCATCTATACTTATATATTGAAGATGAACACATTAAGACCAGCTGAACGAGAAAAAAAAACAGTAAAAATGTTATTTTACGAATTAATTATTTAAATTTAAGACATCTAGATATTTCCAAACTCGATCTTTATTTTTGCAACTTTTAACAAGTCGATTTTAGGGCTATGTATTTTTAAAGTCAAAGTTACGAAAGGAAAGATTTGATCGTTTACATTGAATAGGTTCAAAACTATTCAACTGATTAAAAAAATTCTTTAACTGTTGAAAAGGTACACTATGTCCAGGAGACATAGGGTAGATTGATAATTAGATCTGTTGATTCCGCGCGGACGAAGTCGCGGTTAACTGCTAGTGTTTATTTTTAAATCTCGTCTCTCTGGTCTTACTATTTATGTGGAATATCACTTAAACTAATGAACTGATATATATTGTATATGTATATCACTGGTTTAAATATATAAAGGAAAAGCAATAACTGTTTATATGTTAGCCTGTATATTCACTAGAGTTTAAAAAAATCTTTTTTTTACGTGAATTAATTTTTTTTATTTCATAATTAGTTTCAGAAAAAAAAATTGGTTTCGATATATCAGTTACTTAATGTTTACTTTAATATTTAATTTAAAGATTTTCAATACCGTAAAGTTTTAAATTCATTTTTAAAGAATGATTTTTTTATATAAGACTTAAAATTCTTACAATAGAAATTACGTTTAAATGATATATTCAATGATTAAAAGAGTTAATTTCGTATTATATTTAAAAAGGTTATAAGGCGGTATTTTAGACGTTACCTTATATTTATCTATTTTTGTTAATAATTCTACTAATCCATCATTTAAAATAGGCGCGTTTTTCAAACGTATGTTTAAAAAATCGTTAATAATTTTAACATAAAATTCAAGATTGCAAAAGACTATTATAGAAAAAACCGAAACACCTCTACATATAAATAACTATTATCCTGGCAACACTGAACTGACAGCTGTCAATTTGACAAACGTTCGAAAACCGCGCCTTTATTTTAAAAGATTAACGACATTGTTTGCATTTAATTATTAGATTTAGGTCTTATTTGTAAAATTAATACGAATAAAAACCTATTTAAAATTAGACTACTATTGATATAATGCATTGTTTGTAAGATGTTTTATTCTATTATTTAATAAGATTAGTGTTGCCATCATGTCATGTTAACTATTAAAACTTACCGAGTTAAAAATGTTATATTTATTATATAGATTTTAGTCGACTTCGATAATACTACGACATTATACTTAATAACTAGAATTAAGTAAATTTCCACTGGACACGATGGCGTTGCTTCTTTGCATTGAAGTGTACCTTAAATGAACTATTTAAAAAAGTCCGCATAAATACGATTAATCTTAGACTGGAGATTCGAATTTAACAGCAACGTGCCCTCTCCCCTTATGTATAACGATGAATTATTAAATATAAAACAATTCGTAAGTATATAAGTACAGAGGAGGAACGGACAGCATCAGTTCCTATCACAGCGAGTGCGGCGCGCCTCTCACACGGACACCTACAAATAATCACATCTAAACGATAAGTGTTACCATAGCAACGCGCGCCGCCATCTTACATTCGGTACACATGCATAGTGTCGGTCATGTTGCGACACATTAGCGGAATAGTGTTAATATCGGGCATGTTGTGTCTCGATTGTGTAACGCGCTACTCGCCGGTGTCGCTCCAACTCGCCTCCTCCGCTATTCTGTCCATGCAGTTGCACAGGAACTGATACTGGAAACATTTACATCGGTGTTTCAATTCACAACTAATTGCTATGTACCGTAAATGGAAAATAAATTTAAAGGCAAATCAAAAAAGTATGAGAAAATTTGTAAAAATGTCGCGATGTTTTGTTGCAGCGTAGATATGAATGTGGTGAGATGCAGCGTGTAGTGCAGTGTACATACATATGGCGTGTAGAGAGCGATGGCGGTGGTGTGGTCGGAGTTCCCGGGGCGCCGGTACGTGATGCGCGCCGCCGCCGCCGCGTCGTCCGCGCGCCACTCCCGCACCTCGCGCCACGACACCTGCACAGCCTCCCCCTGACCCGCCCCCATCTCCGCACCCTCCGCCCCCTCGCTCCACGCCGACAGCTTCAGCCCGCTCCAACCTGGGGGAGAAGCGGCGGTCGTACACACAAATGCATGAGGAAGTGCGAGACGTAGACGGAGCGCGGCGTACCTATGGCGAGGACGAGGGCGGGCGTGGCGCGGCAGTCGGTGGTGGCGGGGGGGAAGACGACGTCGCCGTAGCCGGGCAGCGCGCGCGCCAGCGCCAGGTAGTCTCCCGCGCGCCGCACCTCCTGCAGCGCCTTCAGCTGGTACAGCCGGTTTCCCGCCGAGATCACGCCGCGGTTCACCTCCTCCACCGCCTGCGACGCCGCACACACGCAACAACGTTACCTTCCGTACGCCGCCACAGAGACGTGGTGCACGTCTGCGGGGTAACGTGTGAATGTACCTGCCAGAAGAGGAAGGCGGCGGCGGCGGGGTGCGCGCGCACCAGCGCGGCGTCGCGGCGCGGATTGAACAGCCACTTGCGCACGCACACGCAGCTCGCCGACGCCGTGGAGTAGTTCTGCACGTACAGCGAGTGCGGGCACTCGTTGCCCTGCAGCTTGCGCTCTGCTCCCACACACCCACACACCCATGTGTTAACATCACCCGGTGCCACTTTACGATCACAAGTTTAAAAAGCGACTCACCGAAGTTGTACTCGACGATTTCGAAGAGATAGAAATAAGGTCGGAGCTGGTTGTCGAGCGCGATCTTGTCGCACACGGCGCGGTAAACGTGGTCGGCGTTGGCGGAGCGCGCCACCGACACCGCCACCACGCTGCGGTCCGGCAGCAGCACCTTCAGCTCCACCGGCGACGCGCACGACTCCTCGCCCTCCGTCAGGAACTCCTGCACCCACTCGCTCTCCGCGATCACCCGCACCGCGCACACCTGCACACATCGCCCGTCAGGATCTCCTGCCCCTTTCCTACCCCACACTTTGTCTGCTGTGTGTTACCTTCTCTAAATACTGCTCCAGGCCCCGTCTTCTCGCGTCCAGCTGCTGCTCGCTCAATGTGAAAGGCCACTTGCCCGGCAACTTCGGGAAGTTGAAACCTGCATATCGAATTAGTGTAGATTACTCACTTGAGAACCATTAAACGAGTCATTTTCTAAGTAAATCTTTAATGTTACCCAGGAACTCCTTCCTGAGCTGGTGGTGGAGGGCTGCGAACTCCCGGTATCGCCTGCTGCAGAGGTGTCGGCCGGCCATGTGCACGTTGAAGGCGACGAAAGACCTGCCCGTGTTGCGCTCCATCACGACGCGGTAGTCGGGGATGGAGACCGGCAGAGAGCGCTTGTCTGTGTAATCATATTTCTGGTAGACAGCGGCGCGCGAGTTGGTCGCGCCCCCGATCACACCTACGGGAGCGGACTCGTCGCCCGGCTCTAGACGTTCTGCTTCCTGAAAAGGACGAAAGTATTTGCTGTTTGTGGGCGTGTGAGAGAGATAGAAAGTTGGAATTTAATTCTAAGAATACGTTATTTTGCATAACGATATGTAATATGTTAAGAGTTGCCAAGTGTTATGCATTAATTTTGGCGCTGAAATACTTTACGACTAATTGTCTAAGCATGTGCCGCGGTTTTGTAACAAGTGTAACATTTGCCACGTGACGTGGTCACTTGGAAAACGCTAATTACTGTCTATCTTAAATATCTCAATGTAAATATCTTATTCTTGTAACCTAAATAAAACCACTTTGTCCCATAGTGCGTTCGCGACTGCCGTAACAATTTATTTAAGGGACTTTGAGCACGCAATTAGTCGGGCTAGTGGAAAAAGGGCCTTAGGTCTTAAATTCCGTTTATTACATGATATTGTATAAAGTACTTACCTTCTGCGTTACAGATATGACAGTAAGAGAGAGACAGTCACCACCGGATTTGATCAGGTCCACCACTTGCTTGTGGGTAGCGCCTTCCACGTTCACGCCATTACTGGAATAAAACGTTGAACATCATGTTAAAAGATTTATTTGGACGTTCATATATTAGAAAAGCAATAAAACACTTTTACAATATGAACAGTTTATTGTTCACTAAAGTGACAATAATGTATTCAGGTGTTTATTACGAAAAATCTTCACTAAAAGACTTCATTAACCATGACTCTGCGTGTTACATTCGAAACACAAAACATAAAATATATAGCGTAGGAAACGTGTAATATGCTCGTTGATATCGGAGAGCGATAAACCGTAATGGATTACGCTCATGCCGTTTGTATGTAACAATTATTGTAACGAATCCGCAAAGGCCGACAGTAAATGTCCCTTCAGAATAAGTTATAATATAAATATACAAGGGAAGACATATTATATATTTCGTTCGTTCTGAACATATAAACTTTACTTGCACTAATAATAAAGATAACAGATTTGTGTAACGATTAAAATCAACCAATACTGGATTCTTTTTAAAAACACTTTCACACTCAAAGTGCTATTTCCGAGTAACATAATTTTACATATATTATAATTGAAAATGTTTGTTATAAGGTGTCTTCAGGAACGCTAAACGGATCTGAAATTTAGGATGTAGAACACAGTCTGAAAGAACTACATTGGTTACTGATTAAGTCTTTAATTCCGCGTGGTCAGAGTCGCGGACTAAAGTCGCTATTGTTATAACAATTTTATAAAATGACTCTATTTTACAAATTGAATATAAGACACATGGAATAATATTAATTTAGAGTATGACGAAATACTTGGTGGATATTGCTTTATGGACATGTTTATGACTTACTAAAAATAGAAGATAGCAGAGTTCAGATCAGACGTTTAGATCCTGTATGAGTACAGATGTTCGCGTAATCGATCGCGCAATAAATGTGTCCGTTCCGGCTTAAGGTGAGTTTCCACTAAAGCTACGCTAAAAATTTAACTTATTGGATATTGTACAACACCATGTAAAAATACTTTAGAATCAACCTTTGTCTTTAAAAAATATAGTGTGGTAGTTTGTGGGTATGTAATTATTTTTATTTAAATACTTACTGATTCGAAAACTATAATTATGGCTAGTATGGTACAGAATACTATTGCATAGAGTAGGACTTTTGACTCGATAAACCCAGCTATCGAGCTTAGTATCAGTGGAAACGCAGCTTTCGAATGTTAACTGCGCAACGAACGGACGCCTCGACCGAAGGCCGGCTAATTGCTATACACCAGTATATCCCGGGAAATATACGGGAATATTCTAGACATATAGTAACATTAGTCTATTATTTAGGATCAATTAACTTTATCTAAAGAACTTAATGATATTTTATAATATTTTAACTATCATTAACTAGTTGAAAAGGCTGTTGAAAAAAGGAAACAAAGAACCTAAAAAGTAGGTAGCACTTATTCCTTAAAAGAAAAATAGGTCAAAACAGCAAGGCAGCCTGCGTCGCATTGTTCTGTGTTCTTTCAAAAATAAGGAGATAAACAAGGTTTTAAAATTTGGAGCCTTTAGACCCCTTTTTTGTTCCCAACTTACATTTACTTATTTCTTAAATTCAAATTGCATAATTTACCCATCATTATCTGATATTCTTTTGGGCGTCTCCACATCGTATATTTCAAAACCGGTGCTAGGACAGTAGTAGAAGCAATAATGGAACTGTCCAGAGACTCCACGTTGCAGCATTTCGACAACTAACGAGTATACATGCACTAAACATCGACACCTCACCAAAAAAACTAAAACCGAATTCACTTCACCAAGTACTAATGTCTGTACATAAACACAGACGTTATCACTTTTTCTATAAATATCAAAGAAGGATTTATTATTATTTGTTTGTAAATTGATCTTGAAAATTTAATTCACGAAATCACGCACTAACTATCCAGAGAACTGGCTTAGTTAAAATGCATTAGTTCACTATTCTCACCAGATTTTTAAGGTAAATTGACGTAAAATAATCGTACAAGTAAGACGGAACGTTACGAGTTATGAAGTTGAGAGTTTAAGTGATACGTAGAACTAATTAAAGATGAGAGCTTTTAATTATTTAAACATGATAATTATTGAAACAATTTACTGCGCCATTAATAAAGACGGCTCATTCGCGTTAATGTATTTGAATCCGTACCACGAAAATACCTTATAATAAATCTTTTAAGTTAGTCTTTACGTTGAATACTTTGTGCTTCTAATTGGGTTTGGATTTCTAATATCATCTCTAATACGAAGCATTCCTCGTTTGTCTTTAGTGTTATCATACGTATTTCTTTTTTATCGCGCAGTGTTGCATTTTGAGCGCTGGGCGAAAGGAACAATTGTGTTAAAAAGTTCGTCGCTCGGAAGCCAACAACGCAGAGTTTAAAGCGGCGTTAAAAAAGCGCGCGTAACTTCCGCATACTTAAAAAGAATAGTTTATTCTTTGCGAATACTTAATTTAATGCATATTATCTTAATATAATGGTCATTAACTTAGCGAAATAAGCTATAATAAATAACAAGGCAATAAGAATTGCACTTAATTATGTTTATATTTATGATAAGAGTACATGGCACCGTAAACTAGAGTCAGTTTATTGGCTTTTGTATTACCGTTGACCCTATTGCAGATAGAGAGGATTACACGGCAATAGCCTTTGTAAACTAAACTATCTAGATTATATTTGAACACTATACAATACCATTGCAATGCAATACGTCGTTTAATTTTTATATCAATGCGATGTTGATGCGACGCAATCATGTCTAAACGTTGAAATAAGAGTCGTAGTAAGAAAAATACATAAATAGAACAAAAAAAAAGTAGCCAACTCAGCGAAATGCAGCGACGGAATAACCCTTCCGTTTCCTAAGAGATAGCATTAATTTAGATTTTAGGGAGTGTCGTAACAATAAAATGTCTATTAGTGTGGGTGTAAAACTGTATGCTTAGGAAAGTTGTCAGACTATTGTGACATTTATCTAATATATTATTCAAAGAATGTAAAATTAAACAAAAGAGTACAAGATTAGAGTATTGCATACTTTTCCTTTCGTCTTTTCTAGTGTTTAGATCATATCAATGCTATGAAAATTGAGGAAGTGAGTGGATAGTTACATATAGTATACTATCTTTTTCTGTAATTTCACGTATTTTGTGTGAGACTGTGTTTATATTGTGATTTTGATTGAAAAGATACGTTATTGTTCAAGAAACATCCTGTGTACATTCTTTAAACTGCAATTACAATCCAGGGCTGGAATCTAGAAACATATTTAAAAAGAAAAAAACTACTCGGAATATTTGTTGCTTTTTTTTAAAACACTGGCTGCTAATATTTTTATGCAGATATAGTTTTAATTACAAGAAAAAAAAGTTGAATTGCGAATCACTTTTTTGAAGTTTGATAATAATTTAGTATCCAATATGGTGTCATTAATGCGAGTATACATAATTATACATTTAGATAAAATGATACAGGCCAGTGTATTCAATACGACGTCTAATTAAACATGCAATTAGCATGTACTTAATGTAATTAGGGCAAGGGTCCTTGAGTGCACATCTTAGGGATGTCAACATTTAAAGGCTAGATTTAAAGACATCCTGGATTTAGGCCTGGTCATTTATTACAATTTGGTGAATACATAATATTACATATACATATAATATTATGTATTCAATGAATGTTTTATTGTCAGCAAAACAAGATTTAAGCATAACAAATATAATTTGGTTGTAAAATTAATGTTGCATGAAAATCATTAAAATTTTATTAACTGGAAGGAATGGGGTTACTACCTTAGCCATGGAACATGGATTGTATTCCAACACAATATAAAACTTCATACAAAAACGTATAGCCATCTCTATTTTTTCAGAATGAACGAAAGGGATAGTAAAATACTTTTGTATTGTTAACTCAGCAGTAGAAATTCACATAAATTTCTGTTAGAGAAAAGAGCCATGATTATTAACGCCATTAGCTACATGCAGTAGATAAACATATGTACATACTTAGTTATATGTTATAAGGAGGTCTAAATATATCTCTGAAGCTATTTATTGATTTATTTCAAGGCCTTACAAGAAGCCATACAATTTATTTTACAGCTTCCCAGAACAATTTGCATACATAAATAGGTAAAATATGAAATAAATATGTAATTAAGATTAAGATTATAATTAATATTTGGGTAACACATAAGTATAAGGCAGAAGCGAGAAAGATGTTAGGACCGTGCCTAATGGAGATCTCTGCTCTCTGCCTACGTCTCTGGGTTATGGGCTTAAGTTACATTACTGTTGTGTTATAATTAAGTAAGAAGTTTTTATTTCATAACATAGTCAAAGATATGTTTAACAAAGTTATTTACAAAATAATTAAAAACAAAAAATTCTCTTTTATGGAATACTAGTGGACCACGCAATTAATATATGTAATAAATAATAGTTTGTCAGTCCTATAACCTAGCATTTTATAGCAATAATATTTATACAAAAATAATATGAACATTAGATAAATAATATTCACAATTCTAGTTGTACCAAACAATATTTATTTATGAGTGTAATAAATAACCAATAATAGTTATCAATGTGTAATTAAGATAATCTAATATGTTCCTAAAGATAATTAAAACAAAACAAAAACATTAGTTCTACCGGGGAAGTACTTTAACCTAAAAGTAGATATATATTTGTTTTTCTACATTTTGTATGACCCCAAATATGAGAGATTTGAATATCTATTCAGAACTCTCTCTCTTTAACTAGTACCATATCATACACACGGAATTAAATAAATCTAGTAATTAATACACCCTACATCATTCAGAGACACTATAAATTTCCATAGGTGAAAGAATTCTTCAAATCAGTTTTGTAGTTTCAGAGTCAATTCGACACATATAAACATAATTTTTATAATATGATTTTACTAATGCTGATAATATTTTGTAATAGAAAAGTGTAAAAAATCAAACTATGTAAATATTACTTTAATGATATTTTTAATTTTCTGTCATTAAATGCACAAGCAAACACAGAGTGCTAAAATAATTTATATAGTATGTTATAAACATGAGAGTTTTGGAGCCAAAATGATAAATAAAGTAAAAAAAATCAATAGATAATGAAAGAGATGCCAATATGTTTTTGTATAAATTAGGAAATCTATGGTTATCTTGTTAGATAAGTTCATTATGATAAAGAAATTTAAATACTGTGTAACTGCCTTCTACAAGGGAGATCCTTATCCATATATAAGGGGTGCATTCCATATAAGATGTCTACAGTGAAGTAATGTTTAAGTAACTAATGATTCTAGTAGCGGCAAAGAATGAATTTTAAATTAACTTTGATCATGCCTACAACTTTTTATGTGAATATTGTGAATATGCTGCAATAGCATTATACAACTGTTACAACACTCTTGCGCAAACTTTCAATCCACAAAATATAAAACATTTTATATTTTATGAATAAACAGAATGTAAATAATAAAACTTTATAGAGTCCAAAAGAAATATTCATATTTCAGTAAGTTATGAAATATTTGATCGTTATCCATTACACGCTTAACCCATAATTTACGCTTACATTGACTGAATATTAAATTTAAGTACTCACACTTCTAATATCCGGTCTCCTTTTCTAATACCAGCCTGCTCAGCCGCTCCTTGCTCCAGAACAGCGCTGACATGCTGCAGGGGTGCATATAATTCACCATTGATAGACCTCAGCTGTCCACCTTCCGAAACTTGACCGCGCACGTTAAAACCGAAGCCAGTTTCAGTTTTATATATCGTAACTCGACGGGGCCCATTGCTTTCAATTGGGCCCTTATTATTTCTTTCAGTTCTAACAATACTGTTATTATCGGTCTCTGTCTCAGCCATTTTGGACAGTTTTGACCAGATGACAGATGCATTACGTCGCTGGCCAAAGAGTATATAACGCTAACAGTTTTAAAAAAGGAAAAGCGCTGTGCCTAAAACCATTGACCTCTATAGCTATTGATAGGTCACTAGTCGCTACTTGTAAATGACAGCTATTGCTTCGTTCCGATTCAAAAGTATCAGAAAGCGTATTTACCGAACTGTCTAGCCTCGCCGAGGAATGGAGCAATGCGCGGTAACCGTATTATTACGTTAGTTATTCATTTTTAGTTTTGAGTTAGTCATATTTTGAGTTCTATTCCTTTGCAGCATTGCCAACCGCTATCGTCACTCCAACAAGTGGGAATCAAAAAAGCACAAAAATCACGGCTCATAGCCTGTCTAGTTTTTGCACCATAGATAAAAGAAAAGTCTGTGAAAAGCACAGATTACCTGTGTAAAAAATCTGAGTATTTTGTAGTTCTTAAGATTTTCTCACTTTAACTTCTATACCAAAAAATAAGTTTGGGAATCTTTACATACGTTTACCATTTATTTTGAAACATGTTTTTTGAAATCAGTAAATCCTGAAACAGCAAATCAAAATTTAATTTTGACCAGATACATTAAAAATATGAAATTTAGACATTGAAAGCAGATGGCGACACTGATAAAACAACGTGGTAAAGAAAATTCCAATTACTTCACATTCACATCAAAATCAGCTGTGAACATCAGTATGGCCGCACCATCACCTACAAAATAATTTTTTTATAATTCAGATAAATAAATAGAAAAGTGCAATTTTTGTGTTAGTATCGCGTTAGATTGTGTTAGAATTTAGAACACTGTCGGTGTTGATGTTGACTAAAAGTGTTGCGTCATGATAGGACACCTCTCACTGACAAACAAATACAACAAAAATTGCTAACTACGAACAAGAGGCGGCTGTTTGTTACATTAGAGTTATATTTTTATTTGTGGCGTCGGTTGTGATTGCGGGCTGATGTGTTTCGTGCATCATTTGAACATAAATAAGTAACAATGAGCAGCATAAGACTTAGCTTCGTGTCGGTGGGAAGGATAGCGGTTCGGAGAAATTCGCATCTGACATCGGGTGAGTGGATTTCCATTTTCCATCATCATTATATTCCGATTGGCTTTTGCCCAATGTTTTATGTCGCAGTTACAGATTACTGATACAGTACGTATGTTTGTTTGATAACATGACGTCACCACGTTAAATGTTATTATGTATTCATTTGAGTGATATTTATTATCTAGCAAGTTTGTTGTTTTCTATCCACAAGTGGTTTTGCGTTGCACCTCATATCTTTGTAGCAAAAATAGAGTTTATAGTTTGTGAGAATTATAGCAATATAAAATAATAAAAGAAGTTAACATGATAAGGTCAATAACATTAAAATTGTATAATTTGTGCTTGACATTGACTCTTAAGGTCTTTTAGATGAATGTGGACCATTCATCAGCAATGAATAAATAAGTGGTCTATATGCATAAAAATATTAAATAGAGGTGATGAATTTGCATATCATGTTGCAATATTTGAATTAACAAACATTTCATAAACATTTTAAGAGGTTGAATCAAAATATGATTTGTGAACTTGATATATGTTACAATATTTATTATTCATGTTTGCATTTTATTTAGTCTTTGTCAGTTTAAGTTGATGATCTCCGGTTGGGTGGAAAAATATGTACCAAAGTACAGTTTGGAAAAAATTTCATATGATTTTAATTTATATATGTATTAATCTGACATATTTCCTGCAGAATTATCCTAAAGTAACACATCAAAATGGGTTGTTTTCAAACTATTTTATTATGCATTTAATATTTAATTTGGCCTTGTTTAAATGTCGGCTATACAATTTTGTGGTAATTTGCCACTAAATAATGTAGGTCAGGATCACCAAGTGGTATTCATGTACATGGATTGTAAATGATGTGATTGTGGTGATGGTTCAGAATTGTGTAATTGAAAATTTGTTTTAATTATAGCTTAGCTTATGTGTATGTATGTACTGCAAGTAGCATCGGTGGCTCAGGTGTTAAGCACTAGACTTGCAATCTGCATTTCCTGGGTTCAAATCCCGCCATGTACCGCTGTGATGTTCTATTTAAATATGTTCATTTATCTGATGTTCTTATGGTGAAGGAAAACATTGTGATGCAACATGCACATATCTGAGAAGAAATTTAAGTATATGTGTGAAGTCAGCCTACCCGCACTGGGCCAACATGGTTGACTGCCTACTACCTAGTCACCACTAACTTAGAGTAGGCTCTGAGCCCCTCAGTGGTGATGTACAGTGAGCTGATGATGGAACCTTGCGGTTGTGTTTTTAATTTGGATATCAGACTATTCAAGCGTTCAGAATAAACTTTGTCACAAATATTGTTACAAAAAACATGTAAAAAAGATTCCTCAGTCTACCTCATTTAAGTTAAAAGTTACATTAGCACCTATATTGTGGATAACCACATTTCAGTGTGTACTAGCCCTAATGCTCTTAGGTTCAGTAAAAGTCTGAGAGTATAAAGTGAAAGTTGTGTTATATCACAGCATCCACGCCGACTGAGGCTAAGCTTGAGTAGTTAGCACTAATAGGATATCCAGCTTTACAACAAACTTCTTTGTAATTTTTTTAACAATGAATTAGCAAGCTTGTAACTTCTAACTTGCTCCTTAGCGTTATCCTTGTCTTGTGGTGCAGTGACATTGACAAATCCCACCTTTTCTTGAAATGAGAACTTGAGGCATGTACGAGTTTTGCATATTTGTGGAAGATTCATTAGTGATAAGTTGCATACAATAAATATAGTAGGAGATAGTAAAAGGATCGTGATGATGTCTAACTTCAGTTATATGTAAAAAAATTGTAAGAGTGTTCCAATATTACTATATTTTATTATCATGGTTTTGTTTGTTGTAATGGAAACTTAGAACCTAATTAAAAGCACAGGAACTTAATTATTTGTCCTCAAAGCAAACAAATAAGGGGGAAGATAATATGTGTTATATGAGTTTTCCTCATTGGAAATGTTTCATGGGAAAAGTAGTGTTGCTTTTTGACTATACTTCATTTTAATCCAATGCCAAAATAAAGAAAATAAAGGCACTGCAAATTCTAATATTATACAAGATAAAACAAAGTATAATATTAAAATTATTTCATCGATAAAAATGTGTATATCTTTTCCTCATCCTCGTGGTGTCTAAATTTAAAAAAATAACTTATCTTTTAAGTGTAAATGTGAATTTTTTGTATCATACCATTAGCCGCAAGGTCTTTTTTGGACAGCTGTTGTCATGGAAGTTGCATTTTATTTTACTTATCCATAAAATTTAAGTAATTTTTTTGTCCACTACTAATATTTGTATCATGTTTCACTTAATACATTTCTATTTTTGGATATTTTTTACTATTATACTAATAATGAAGCATTTCAATTCAAGAAAAGATTAATAGAGTATAATTAGACCTTTATATTTTATTCTAAAAATATAACTCTTCAGTGACATCACAATTTAATATAAAACAGTGTATCTTATTACATGTTCTTATGGAAAAAGAGCTAGCGGCCACATGAATAAGAAGTGATCACTGCCTATAGACATACACAACTGTAGATGCCTTGCCTACCTTTAATTGACAAAGGTAGGGTACTCCCCTCCTATATCATAGTCGCATATAGCCTAGCCTATAGTATAGTCAAACTTACTGAGTACAGAAAGAGGCAATATGCTCTCTCTATGAGTCCCTTCCTCCATAATATCCACGTCCACTTTGAAATGCAGGATTGCTTCCACTTTACTGTCTTCTATTCATGTGACAAATGTTGCCGGCTGCTATCACTGTAAAATGTGTAAGCTATTTGCAAATATGTATGTTACAGATCGGAATGTCTATTAAATATGATTGTAAAATATATGTGTTAAGTGTTGCAAGAGAAAACTTTCTATATTACGTAAAAATAATAGTTTTAAGATCATAATCGCGTGCGCACCGAATGAAATACATTTTGTGGGGCATTACAGGCGCCACTTTCGTTTTCTCGCCGCTAACGAGATAATAATGACTGGATTTTAAAAGGCTTTAGTGCGTTGTGTTTTTTAATATTTACCATAAAATATCGTAAAGTGGACTGTCCCTCATTATTTACCTAAAATAAATGGGTAAATACGATTCTGGAATAAATGTTTCTGGAATAAATGGAAAACATGTTTGTTACTGATACTATATTAATTTATTAATATTTAAAAGTTATATTTATATAATCAGTTGTCTTATTTGACGTCAATAATAAGTTTAATTATAAAAGTATGTTAAATTGACTTTATAAATGCATAATTGTTTCTCATAATTGAATATGTTTTACTTTTTATCTGAATCCAGTTTTCGATTAAAGCCGCTAAATAGTAACCGAATTAATTGGGAGTGTGTCAAGGTGAGTGTTGCAAGTGGTGTCATGTGCCTGACACCCCCCTCCCCCCCTCTCCACCAGCCGCAAGACACGTTGCACCCTGCACGTGGCTTTATGACCACAATCCTTATATATATAATTCTTCTGTGAGTGTGTATGTCACTGAACTTCTCTCAAACGACTGGACCGATTTTGACGAAATTTTTTGTGTGTGTTCAAGGGGATCTGGGAATGGTTTAGATTCACAATTTTGTCCGCTGGACAATGTTTTTTTAATTAATTTTTAATTTATTAGTAGTTGATGATTTTGGAACGTTTTACATTGGATCCGACAGACGGCGCTACCATCGCAGTGTCAAATTGTCAGACAACGTCTGTCGGGTCCGCTAGTATATAAATATGAAGGTAAAATGTCAGCGAAGTATTTTTTTTCTTTTTGATACAGTATGTGAAGTTCTCTGCCTACCTCTTAAAGTAAATAGCTTGATGTTTAATGAGCAAAAGCTTAGAATTTCCGTTAAAATAAGTCGCAGTGTAAAAAAAGCCGTGTTTTAGTCTATCTCAGACATTTTAGATTTATCAAGTAACTTTTTATAAGACTGTCTCAAGGTAAATAAATCCAGACCAGACACATTAATTCTATCATTAATGAAATGACAGATAAATGACGAGTCATACTATAAAATGAGGTTTTTATTCACTTAGTTACATAAAGACAATTAAAAGTTCTTAAAAAAAACTATAACATTAATTAATAGTGCTGTTGTAAATATTTACTTCCCGATAATGACATTTTACCGCAATACAGTTATCAAAAATGAACAATTAAGACAACATAACCTGTAACCCAGAAGGGTAGGCAGAGATTATAAACTTTCATATTGCGCCGTCCTGACAAACCACTCGCATCATCCAAATTCGTACATATTTTTTAAGAGAAATTAATACGTCAACTTTCAGCGATTTATTATTTTGTATTCAGTTGCACATTTTGACGGTGAATTATGAAGACTTTCAAGATAAAATATGATCTTCCCCGTGACAACTGTAATTTGAGCCCGCTTACTTCGTAAATTATATGACGAGGTGGTACATTACTTTGGTGCATGTAAGCGCGCAATGTGGATGCAATAAACAAAACATGTAACCAAGAGATGTACAAATTGTAAAGTTGAGGTTACACTGGGACAGTTAAAACAAGCATATACATTTTTGGAAAGTATTTTTACGATCAGGGACATTCTTTGTAGTTTTCCTTTTGGATTTTTGGAACGAGTTTTTTAAAGTTTGGTTACTTAGCCAACAGGTAATACTATAAAGAGGAAATATTTGTATTTTTGTATTCAACTAATAAACTCAAAAACTACTAAACAGATGCTAAAAAATTATTTTGCCTTAAAAAGGTACATTTCGACTCAGTTACATAGGCTATATTTATTACTTTATATTTTTAAAAATTCCTCGCATAATACGGATACGGATCTATGATAGAATCCTTTCATATTTTGATATAACAATTAAAATATTTTTGAATAAAAGAACCTTTTTAGCGCCAGTGTAAACACGTCTTTAAAGTATACTACCAAAAGCGGGCAGTATATTCAAATCACGAAAACGAACATTTAAAAATTTACCTCCGCACATTCGAGTCATTCTTCTCAATTATTTTTGCCGCAAAATATCGGTTTACCTATATCCAAATTAGTGTATTACTTTGTATAAATTGTCGACTTGGCAAACAATATATCACCATCCTGGGTATTTTCCACGAAGGGTCGGCACAGTTTAAAATCTTCCATTTATCTCTATCAGCTGTCATATTTGAATTCACTCCCTAATAACACGCTTTATAAAATGCTATATATTAGTATAATATAAATGCGAATGTTTGGATGGATGTTTGTTTGAAAGTATATCCGGAACACCTCAACAGATCTGGCTGAAATTTGACACAGATGTAGAACATAGTCTGGAAGAATACAGGCTACTAAGTTTTTTAAATTCTGCGCGGACGGAGTCGCGGATGACAGCTACACAATATAACTTTGGAGATCCCGGGACCCTCGCAGACGCACTTGAGGTTGGTCACCGAGGGGTTTTAGTGAGTAAGAATCTCACATAACCCCCTTTCCCCCAAAAGGCAGGGTATCTTACGAAGATCCCCCCCCTGATACCAAAAAAAAATTGTACATTAAGTAAATAAAATTATTATATATATTTTAAAGATGAACAACAATATTTTATATTAGTGGTAATGTTTATACATTATCAGTGCATTGCCCCCGTGAATAATATTTTATCAAATTACTTTATTGATTGCTAACACATATGTAATTGACTGAATAATCATCATAAAGCGTCAATAGTCTAATGGTTAAGGGTACGGATTACCGATCACGAGGTTCACGGGGCACGGGGGTTCGAAACTGGCTATTCGACTATTTTCGTAAACCAATTTCTAGCACAAGACTAGTGTTTAGTTAGAGTGGTACAAGAATTAACAAATATCTCCTAATATTTTTCAAGAAAAAAAACACTAAGTGTTTTTTTGGTCTCATATAATGTGGTCTTCTATAAAACCTAAAACTTATTTTACTAAAATCAGGATTAACTTACAGACAGACAGACAATTGGATTATCGTTATGAGCAAAGCAAATGTATGATCGCGAAACGTGATTTTTTTTTAATATTGCATACAGACACTCTAATTTTATTCATTGTATAGATACTAAAATTTCGCACACACTTGTATGATCAAAAATGACACGGTATCACTTGAATATAACTAGTGAAAGTATTTATTGGAAAGCTCTTTGCAATGTCATATCGCTTATTTTGACTCTCTGTAAATGCACTGTAAACTCTGTTAATGGATTTTACATTCCATCTTTTGGTACAGAGTGCAACTATGGTAAACTAGCTGCCGCCCGCGCGGAATTGAAGAAAATAATTAATTAGTCTATGTGTTCTTCCAGACTTTGTTCTACGTCTATGCCAAATTTCAGCCGGATCCGTTAAGCTGTTCTGGAGATACCTTCTAACAAACATCCATCCATGTAAATATTAGCATTTATAATTTTGGTAATAAGTAAGATATATTAAAATGCCACTATTATTAAAAAGAAACATCGATATTACAGACGAAATATGTGTTTATTTATCAAATCAATTTTATTATTGAATCGCTAAAAAATAGATAAAACGTGTTTTTGTTTTTCACTGATTAGCTTATGAAAGGCTACGTGATTTGGTTTAACTTATAAAAACTTCATTTTACGTACAGTGAACATGATTTAGAAAATCGTGTGTCACATTTCATGATCACAAAGGATGTTTTGCGGTCACTCGCATAGTGTGGGGATACTCGTATAAGATGCGGTTTACACGCGACAAAGACAGAGGTTAAAGCACTTCGTATACAAGGAAATGTAAACGTACCTAATATTGTATGGTACACACAACGTTAAATCCTCGACTCGCGTCGTCTATTCGGTCAGATCAGGCATAGTGACTACATGTCAACTATACAGATTTGCTCTGCCATCTTGAAAATTGCAGCGACTTCTCTCACGATGATATTGACAAATAGGTTGCGAGCAACTGTCTTTGGCGATGATAGAAATGTCGGCGACGTGAGCTATGTACCGACTTCTTTAACATTGCATAAGTCGCTTAGCGACTAAACTCACCGGGTTTTGAAGATTTACGTTGCGTTGTGTATTAAGGGCCTTTGATTGACAAGCGTGAGTTTCCATTGCCGAAGTTCACGTACAATATCGAACATATTTGTTATCCCTTTCTTTCACTTTGAATAAAACTGAGATGACAATGTTTTTGCATAGATGTGTCTGAAGAAGAAACATATGGTAATAGTAAGTTTTTAGTCTGTTGAAAGCTACGAAGACTGGTGACAATATTATTAGGATTATATTTTACCCAAATAGGACTTGATAGTCTTGACTTTTTCGTCACTTTTTTTTTCTTTATTCAAATCAATTTGTGGGAATTTTTTGTTCAAATGTATTTTACATTGTATGCTTAAAATTCTGTATACACCTAAAGTCGTGGTTTGTGTGAGCTTTTTTTGTTTATTTTTCCTGTTCCTTTGCCGTATAAATACATGTTTTCGTAATATTGCGCTAACAGATCTCTCTGAGTGATAAATATTGATATAAGTATCGTTTAATGATGACCAAATTTCTGGTTATCCTCGACGGTTTACTTGTTTATGGTTATTCAGAAAATTACTTGTGATGATTGTAATTATTAGATGTCGCCCAATTATTGAATATCAGAATCAATAATCAAAGAAAATTTTATGTTCCATTAGGAAATTTAGAAGTTAGTATGACTTGCAATTCAGTGATTTGCAAATCATGCCAATAATCTTGTCTGTTTGTAATTGCTAACAAGACAAACTCTCATCGCTATATTATATTCGATCCTTGAGATCCATCCGAAAATTATTTGAAAGTTATTTGTATCTAAGAAAAGCAAGAAGCTAGAAAAAATCTGGAGAGTGTCGATGACTTAGGGGTTAAGCACTTACTTGGAATCTCCAGGTCCTCCTGGGTTCGAATCCCGCCAGGTATCAATGTGTTTTGGCGATTTACATATGTGCACTTATCCGACGTTCTTACGGTGAAGGAAAACATTGTGATGCAACCTGCACATATCTGAGAAGAAATTCAAAGATATATGTGAAGTCAACCAACCCGCTCTTGGTCAGCGTGGTTAACTTTGGCCTAGTCACCCCTAACTAAGGGTAGGCTTCAAGCCCCTCAGGGGGGACTTACAGTGAGCTTATGTTGCGTTTACACTGATCATGTTTTTCTTTTGATAAAGCGGTCACTGTTTAATTGGAATTAATTGAATATGTTCAAAATACCACAGATAAGCAAAAATATTTTCAGATCGAATATTAATTTCGGCCGTGAATTAGTTGTAATCCAGCGTTTATTTTAAATGAAACATCTTGTAGGAATTGTATTATCTACACTTGGTTAGTGCGAACCGAGGTCAGGTCATGGTTAGCCTTTGTTTGTGTCTTGAGGTTATTGTAACTATGACCATGATGTCTGTTGTTTTGCTACGAGTGAAAGTAACTAACAAAGACTCAATGTGAAGAATTAGCTTATGGTTTGCAAAAGAAGTCCTCCTCCCAAAAGGTCCAATAGTCCTGTTTCAATCTGTAAGTTAATTGTAACACTGTATTTTATTATTTTCTTGTACGTATCAATAACAAAAGTCGCTGACTCAGGGGTCCTGGGTTCGAATCCCGCCATGTACCAATGTGTTTTTCGATTTTATTATGTACATTTATCCGTCGTTCTTATGCAACCTGCATATATCAGCAAAAAAAAACAAGATATGTGTGAATTAATGGGAGAGGCGGCGACGCGGCTTGCCACCCGTCACGTTTCGTCTTCCGAAAGAGCGAAATACTGGTCCTGGTCTCTATCTACCCCTCTGGGTTGTAGACGTGAGTTGTATTTTATCAATGTCAAATATGTATTGTTAGATATAAGTACTTGAATTCAATTCCATGTATTGATACCGATTGCAACTATGTAATGTGTAGATGTTAAGGTCTTATACTGACCTTACAGTACAATGCAGTCAACTGACCACGCAGTTAACTATCCATCCATTTATTAATCTATGTGACCTAAATATGTACCCTTAATGAATCAGTATCCTAGTACATAGTAGCGGCGTTAGGGTAGGGTGAGGTGGGGCGACCGCCCAGGGCGCCGGCCGTAAAGGGGCGCCATATGGTCTCTAACATACACTATCTCTGAAAGGTTTCCCCCAAATCAAAAAAGGGAGCGCCAAAATAATTCTAAAATTGAACTTGCTAGTAGAAGCAGAATACAGTGAGAGCTATTTAACACTAAGTTTTTTATTTATTTAATTTACACATAATAGCTGAAATCATCACGCGGTCAAAAAAAATGGAATATACAAAACTGTTAATTCAGCCATCATGAGGTGTTAGTAGAACAATAGAATGTCATCAAGATAACATTACGTTAATTTATGATAATCTATTGATAACATCTATGTAAACATAAGGGCACATACACCCTGGCTGTACGAAGCATAAACAATACCCTTAATCATAGGTACACACTTCGCGCTTTTAACCGTGCATTTTGGTGCAGATACACTGAACCCCGTGATCAGTTGACTTTATTTTAATGTATGATTGTTTTGTTGGTCAGGTGGTGTGCAGACATGCCGCGCGGTGCGGCGCGCTTGCTTACGGCCGCTGACGACGTGCTCCGTACTGTGCAAGAATCCTAGCGAGCAGCCGCCCGGCGCCGCGGGCACGCCGCACGGACCACCAAAAGACACAGCCGCAGGTAACATTATCTTGAAAAAATAATATCCAAAGTTAAGCCAATGTCAATCTATCTTTCGCTACTCTTTAGAGAGTAGATAAGGAAAAAGAATTGTGGGATGGGAATGAAATCGGGACCGACAATAGTTTACATTAAGGCAGACACTCAAAAGGCACCAACACATGCAGTTGCTCTTGTGTCGAGGATGTCTATGTGCATATATTTTGTCACTACTTATAAAAAAAAAGTGTACCATTAGCCGTAGTATCTCTTTGCTGGTAGAGAGCTATTCAAACAATAAATCGACCAATGAGATCTTTTAATATGTAACTGGTTTAAGTCGATATGCGATTCTACAATTAAGATAATGCAGATAAGACTACTACAAAGCTGATATTATCGTTAGTTAATCGATACTAGATGTCATACGATGACTTCCTTGTTCCTTATTCACGTATTTTGCCTTTTTTGCGTGAATATTTCTATCGCAACTATAACTAGGGAGAACAAAGAAATATACAAAAATGTAAAAAGTTAATAAATAATATATTTTTTATTTTTTATATTGATTGCTCTTTGTCTGAATGAAATAGAGGAATAAAACAATTGTGATTATTTCTTTTGAGCATAAATAAATATGTGATTGCAATTTCTACAATATTTTTGTTATGTAAATACGTCATATCTAACTATACTTATAAAACTATTGATAAATATAAATTCAATAAAAGTAATGTATTAGTTAAATTATTATTTTTTTCTATATTTACATAGACGCTAAAGTTACGTGTCCATTATCCCGCGTAAGACGCACCGCACGCACGGCCCGCAACGAATTTTAGTTTGGTCTGTATGATTTGATATAGCGTCGCGTCGATCATCCGCGCCGCCCGCATTAAACAAAGACGTAGCAACGTCCGCGCATGCGCGCCAATGGACGAGTACCTTAATATTAATGCGCCAAAATTAGTTGCAAATATTACTTTAAATATAATTTAATTGTATATTAAATGCATTTTAAAATCCATATTAAATCATAATTAAAAAATAACGAAGATACACGAGTTGGCAAATATTCAAGTTACATAGTAATTGTTTTTTATTTATGGATTAGACGACACGTGTCTGTAGAAATAAACAATATGATAATTTAAATATCTCTAAATAAATATATGTAAATGTCTTTTGTACACTACAATATAAATGACAAATCTATATGAATATAATAAAAAATCTTATTAAGCAGAGAAATATACGATTTCTTAAAAAATCAGTTTTTTAAAGATGACTTGACAAAAGCATCGTTTCTAAGTATACATAAATATTATTCCGGATATTAATGTTGATTTTTGAGGCGCAAATTATTGTACAAATAAGTTTTAGACTCATGAATTGCCTACTTTAAAAGTCATGAACGCATGATATTTTTTCGTCCTGTGTAGTCAGCATTTGTCGTGTTCGAGTAATAAAATTAAACGACTCGCGTATAGATAGATGAACGTCTGTCATATAGTTGTTTTTAAATAATTGAAATTAGAAATATGTCATAGGATTTTTTTTCTTACCATTAAACGTATTTGTTGTGACGTCAGGTCAGAGTTCCGGTGGTAAGAAGTCCGGGTCTGGCACTGGCGGCGTACTGACGTGCCCCAAATGCGGCGACCCGTGTACCCACGTCGAGACCTTTGTCAGCTCCACGCGCTTCGTCAAATGTGACAAGTGTCACCACTTCTTCGTAGTACTCAGCGAGGTCGACACCAAGAAGAGTATTAAAGACAACGCAGAGAACAAATCAGGTTTCTATAGGTCAGTCAGACTCTTGTTATACTTTATTTTGTGTAACTTATTACCCCACCATTAGGGTCCGTTCACACAGACCGGGCAGAGTACAATGCAGATTTTTTGTCGCAAATAAAATTGAAACAAGGCTTAAACATCTAGTAATAAATAAAGCCTATGCACCAGGGGAGTATAGATTCCCAATAGCAAACAAACCATTCCTCTTGATAAAGTCTCTGCCCGGTCTGTGTGTACGAACCCTTAGGCGGAATACCTATACTATTATACTGCAACAAAAATAAAACGATTGGAAGAAAACTCTTAAAGCAAAAAAAATGGCAATATGCAATATTGTATGATAATAAATTCAAAGAGTATATATCTAATTCAAAATTAATCAGATAAAATGTTATCGTTCAATATAAATGTATTTTGGGCAAGAAGTGTCGTTGAACTGTGAGTTATTGCATTTCTTATACAACTATCGTGATATTTGTTTCTCTTTTTATCTTAATACTTAAGTAGTTTTTTTCTGTAATTTATTTTTATATACGCGATTGTATTACGTCGTTTGTAAGGTCGAGGTGACTTTTGTTTTCTAATTATCACTAAGTTTTTTAACCTATAACAAATAGATTTTTAAAAATCCATTGAAAATTTGTGTTATATTTGAATATGTTTGTATACAAGTTTTTGTACAGTGAAAACCCGAGATAATCATGTATCAGTTTGAACAATTAACACCAGAGATGAACCTTTAACGGTCAATATCACCCGGGTGAAGGAACTGCAAACGTTTGCACACGTTGTTTATATTAATATGTTTTATTTAGCGTTTTAATTATTGTGCAAAAATCATATTTTTTTCAGATACTTTAGAAGCAAAACTGTCATTGAAACCATATACTAGTTTGTCACCCGTGACTCAGTTTGCACGGAATTAAAAAAAAATAGTAGCTTATATCTTCTTCCAGACAATGTTCTACGTCTATGCCAAACATCGAGATCCGTTGAGCCGTTTGCATCCATCGAAACATTCGCATTTATAATATTAGTAAGGAGTATTTTTGGAGTCTATCAAGAACCGAACTTTCAACTACACTGTTTAAACATTATGTAGACACATTGTTTTCTTACAGACTTCAATGTAAGAAATTCTTCCATAGGTATTTTTTAAGAGCACTCACTCTCGTGTACTATTTTCTTTCGCTTTCATATAATTTGATCATTACTTTTTTATAATATAAAATGGCAAACGAGTGGCCACTTCAAACTTCTCTTTAAGCTCGATACTTGCGTAAGATCAGCCGTGATATTGCATCTTGCGCAAGCGCCGGACGCCGCGGAAACTTCCGCTGAACTGTTGAAAGTTAACTTATATATCTGTCCAATACAATATGTTACAACATTCATACATTCGTGCCGAATAAAAGCGAGTTAGCGGATGGAGAATATTAAGAAAGTATAAGTTAGCTTTTGTATAGTACACAGAAATAATATATGTTGTTTACCAAACGTAAGTAGAAAGCATCAAGCGAGGCATCAAGAATGGATGGATGTTTGTTAAAAGGTATCTCCAACGGCTGCATGGATCTTGCTGAATTTTGACATAGATGTAGAACATAGATTGGAAGAACAGATAGACTACTAATTAAGTTTTTCTTTTAAAATTTCGCGTGGACGTAGTCGCGGGCGACAGCTAGTTAACGACTTTAGACATTACCTAGTGTAAATGTTAAATTAGATTTGTGTAAATTCCAGAAAGCCACCACCACCTCCTAAGAAGATCTTTGAATACTTGAACAAGCACGTGGTGGGTCAGGAGTACGCGAAGAAAGTGTTGTCTGTGGCCGTCTACAATCACTACAAGCGTATCTACAACAACGTCTCCAGCGGCGCGCACGCTGACGCCCACCATCCTCTGCATCACACGCATAGAGGTACCAACTTACATTGACACAAAAGTACATACATGACATTTGATCACACAGCTCTATGGTTCCTTAAATGGCCCAGGTAGATCCTCTTGAGTCTACAGAAGACCCTGCTGGGGTTTACATTATCGGACTTAAGTTCAGGGTTCATAAGTTAAAAATGAAGTTTAGGGCTTTCAATCCCAATTTTCCAGTGACGATCGACGAACCATTATCTTAATATTCTAAATATAAATGTTTTTATCAAGTTGTTTTTGCTACTTATGTATGTAAATGTATATAATGTCGTTGCTCTATATATAATACTTATGTTGTAAGGAACTGTATTGAGTTGTTATTTATCGAAAGTGTTGCCAGGTCAACCCAACCGCGTCAGGCAAAAAGTCAATGCAATTGGTCACACTCTCGCGCACTTTTTGTCTACAAAGTTTCACTTACTATTCTCATTTACGCCATTAAATTTATTATAATAGATCGATCTCACTTGCATTTTTAATGTTATATTTTAAATTTAATATCTTTAAAGTACGTTATTTTAAACAATAGATAGACGTAAAGACTTTATTCCAATGACTATGTATTAAAAAAGTGAACTTAGAATGTGTGTTTTCCTAGACTATGTTCTATATCTATGTCAAATTTCATCAAAATCTGTTGAACCGTTCTAAAAAACACTTTAAAATACACGTTTATCCATCTATACATTCAAACATTCGCATTTATAATATTAGTAAGATGTATTATGTTATTAAAATAAGTTCATAGCTCTGCATGTCTTTGTCAAAGTAAAATGACATGCGACTGACATGGTTATTGTTTATGGCCGCCATTGTCTTTTGTTGTCGCTCTCCAAGTGAAAGTTGTCGGTGATTTTCATAATTGATGCGGACAATTGTAGTTTGAATCACAATAAAAGGTTAAGGTCTTTTATTCTCTAACAATGACCTCTATAGACAGGCTATAAGGCGAAGTATTTTGTGCCTATTTGATTTTGAAGCTGTGGAGTGTGGATTTGAACTTATAATATAGATAGAATTAATTGTTGTAAACAAAGTAAAAGCTGTTATTTTCAAGCAATTACTTTTTCATTTATAGAATTCAGTGTTCTGTAAAGATTTAAAAAACGTATGTCGGTTCAGTCAGGTTAGTTTCAATTCTAAGGAAATGATTCCTAATGTTTGATGCATCCAAAATCTATTAGAAGAAATTATGAAATCGCAGGTAATAATGTTGTACAGCTAAGAAACGTGATAACAATACTGAAGTAGTGTTGCACAGACGAGGACACAAGTTACATACTAACATGTCAGTACTGACCACCGAGTGCGCGACCGCCTTGTTGTACTGACATGCTGCTGTTGTACTGTTACATTATTGATATCACGTCTTTTAATCGATTGCTGTACTATAGGGTTACATTGATTACATGACTCGTGTGTAATGTTTCATCTGACGTAAAGACCTCATTACTGCCTCAAGAGGGAAATTGGGACAAACCTAACTCTATACCGACTTATTTTCTAAGTTGGCAAAGCAAGCTGACAACCGAATAGCGCTTGAAATAACGTAACGATCGCTGGCCAAATATATCCGCAATAGCGGATGCATTGCCTACTTTTAATCGACGGTGGAGAGGACGCATGAAAGATAATATTTTCCTACGCGTCACCTCCTCCGTGATATCCCCATTTTCTTACCATTCTTTCCTCTTAAAGAAAGGGCGGGAAGGGAAAAGGAACTAAAATTGGGGTTATAAGTATTATATCTTTGTGTTACTGTGTTATGAACTAGTGTTGAATGACATGACAAATGACACTCGTAATATATTAACGCGTCTGTTTATTTAAAGGGAGTGAATAGGATGATAAACTGTTTTGTGAAGAAAAGTGTTTATCTGCAGAGTTATTGCACGTGAGTCACGGTGGTGGTGGGAGCGGGGGCGGGGGCGGAGGTGCAGGTGGTGGGGGCGGAGCGGAGGTGCTGGACCGGCAGCAGCACGAGCTGCGTCTAGACAAGAGCAATGTACTATTGCTAGGACCCACTGGCTCCGGTAAGTCATACCACTTAGCCCTTTCTAGAGTTCAAAATACGGGAAGTATCACGATCATAAAGCGTGAACATTTCATTCGTTTTATTTTAACCTATTGAATAGTCGAAATCAATGGAAATTAGAAATTATATTTACACTATCGGACATAAAAAAAATAGTAGCCTATGTGTTCCCACAGACTATGTTCTGGGACTATGACAAATTTCAGCGAGATCCATGCAGCCGTTTTGGCGATACCTTCACACGGATTTATAAGATGAGTGAGATTAGAGAAGAGAGGTAACGTTTGCGCAGGCAAGACGTTGCTGGCGCAGACGATAGCGCAGTGCCTGGACGTGCCGTTCGCGATCTGCGACTGCACCACGCTCACGCAGGCAGGGTACGTCGGCGAGGACATCGAGAGCGTCATCGCCAAGCTGCTGCAGGACGCCAACTTCAAGTAACTTTCACTTACACACATTGCATAACAGTCCTTCCCTTCTCATCCTTAAGGACGGGAAGGGGAAAGTGGATGTGTCTCCTCCGTCGATTAAAAGTTGGAAATGGGTTGTGCAATTAGGGATGTAGTAATTGTTAGCTCGTCGGTCACCTTATTAAATAAATGTTGAAGAATGTAGTAAGTAATGTATTAACGGAGTAATTGTGTGTGTCAGTGTGGAGCGCGCGCAGACCGGCATCGTGTTCCTGGACGAGGTGGACAAGATCGGCGCAGTGCCCGGCATACACCAGCTCAGGGACGTCGGAGGTGAACCACCGGCCACATCTTATATTTACTTTTGTCCCATTCGAAGGATCAAAATGTTATCTTTCACCTCTTCATACGAACCCACTAATCTAAGCTCGGTCTCGTCTTTTCCTTTTACATAAAAATATGCCGCTACTTTGGCCGCGCCGGATTAAAAAAAGCTTAATCAGTAGCCCATATGTTCTTCCAGATCATGTTCAACGTGTATGAGAAATGAAGCGGGTCGTTCTGTAAATATTTAGTAAGAAATGGTGAATTTCGTTACAGGCGAGGGTGTGCAGCAGGGCATGCTGAAGATGCTGGAGGGCGCGGTGGTGTCGGTGCCGGAGCGCAACTCGCGCAAGCTGCGCGGGGACGCCGTGCACGTCGACACCACCAACATCCTGTTCGTCGCCAGCGGCGCGTACAACGGCCTCGACAGGTGCGTGCGTCTCGCCGGAGCGGTGTCACGTGTGAGGGCGGGGTGACATGTGATGTTGTGTGCGGCAGGCTGGTGCAGCGACGCAGCAACGAGAAGTACCTGGGTTTCGGTGCGTGGGACCGGTCGGGCGGGAGGCGCGCGGCGCTGGCGGCGGCCGCGGCGGACGCCTCCCCGCTCCAGTCCGCCGCAGCAGAGGGCGACGAGCGCGACGCCTGGCTGCGCAAGGTGCAGGCGCGCGACCTCATCGACTTCGGCATGATTCCGGTACGTTCAGCTCGTCTCCACCTCCAGCCGCTCCTACCTCGCGCGCCACCTGCACACTAACATCCTCCCCCTCTCTGCCTGCAGGAGTTCGTGGGACGGTTCCCGGTCCTCGTGCCCTTCCACAGCCTGAACCAGGACCTGCTGGTGCGGATACTGACGGAGCCGAAGAACGCGATGGTGGCGCAGTACAAGCTGCTGTTCGCGATGGACAAGTGCGAGCTGACGTTCAGCGAGGAGGCGCTGCGGGCGGTGGCGGCGCAGGCGATGGAGCGCAAGACGGGCGCCCGCGGGCTGCGCGCCATCATGGAGAACCTGCTGCTGGAGGTGATGTTCGAGATCCCCGGCTCCGACATCGTCTCCGTGCACATCCACGAGGGCTGCGTGCGTCGCAGCGAGCCGCCCTCCCTCACGCGCCGCCAGCCGCCGCAGGAGCGCGACCTGCACGACTGGCCCTCCGTGCGTCTGCACAACTGTACGTATCACCCTCACGCCCCCCCCCCCCCCTCCCCTCCCCCCACAGGTGAAGTGCTGAACTCCTGAGCCACCGCTGCTCTATTTATTCCTTTAGCGTTACCAAACCCGGTCAATTCGTGGCAATGAGCGGGCGAGAGACGCCGCGCGCTGCACCTCGCACCTCGCACCTCGCGATACCCGACACGTTGCTCACATGATCCCTCGAGCCGGACTCTGTGGTGACTTGCTTTCTTTTTTTTTGTTTTTTTTTGTATGAATCTATGGATGGATTGTCTGATAAGAAATAAATTGTGATATGATGGGTAGCAGAGATCTGGTACATGTAGAGACAACGCCAGTAATTTTACTAGTAATTTAGTTTTAGTTAAACTTTAGGATTCAAAATGTACAATATTTATTTATCTTTGTATAGAATATTTTTTGCTTTTCCATACAAAGTTATTTACATGTGTTTTTTTATTGTTGCAGGAGATGAAACAAGCGAGCTAGCCGAACCATCAGTCAGTGAGCGGTGCGGTGCTGCAGTACCGGTATGGTGCTTGCTGACCTCAGCGAGAACTACAACACCGAGCTCGGAGTGCGCCTCCCCCCTCTCCACGCCACACTGATACAACTCTTTTACGATTTGATTTATTATCAGCCGATTTGGAATCTATTATTATGGTTATTTTCTATCAATATAAAATATTAAAATACACCGAATTGGATTTTAAACATAAACGTCTGATATAGAAATGAATGTTGCCAGTTTTAGATTCCATGCGCGCAATTGGGTAAATTAAAAATGGATAAAATAAAACGGGAAGTTATCTATCTGTTTCTGCGTATAGAATCCAGACAGCATTTCTTGTAGATGTGCCAATCGTAGCAATTAACTGAAAAGATACATTTTTAACAAAGTGTAATAAATTAAAATTAAATATTTGAAAGCAATCTAGTGACATTATGATCTTTATGTAAGTTCCTCGAGTTAAATTTATATATTCTCATTGTAAAGGAAATCATACAAATTTGCGCTTGTGATGTAAATTACTGTAAATAAATAGTAATGTTAACGTTTAAGATTTTGAATAAGCTTTTTTTTCTATTTTTCTCTAATTTAAGCTCCCTACGTGTAGGCAAAATTAGTTTCGGTTGGCAACCCTGTGAGAAATGACGATTTGACGTTTGTTGATGACGTCACACATTTATTGTTTTCTTTTTATAATATAAATAGTTGAATAGTTGAGATGTTCACTTGAAATGCGGACAATGTGATTGTATGAATTATTTTAGGTCTAAAATATAGATTAATATAAGTCCGGTTAGACGAAATTAAATCTAGAGTTTAACATTACAGCTAGAGGTGAATAGTATAAAGTCTATTTTCATTTAAGATAAAAAAAAATCAAAAAAAGAAGTTGGACGATTTTATTTTTTATTTTTCTTTTTTTTTACATACTGATGTTCACATTTGTAGTTGAATTGAATGTTTTTAAATGTCATAGTTTAATTCTCAGTTGTTATTTGATCAGGTTACGATTTAGATATTTGGGTGCTGAAGATAGTCGAGAAATTAATTATAAAAAATTAAATTGTGTTCATCGATGACGATAACAAAAATAAATATATGAAAAATGTTTGTTGCTTTTTATTTTTATCCTTCATATAAATATATAAATCAAAAGCAAGTTAACATGCAAGTATAGTTCTTTTCACATATACCTACACCTGAGATAGCGTTTTGAGTAAAAAGTTAAAAGTCGCCTAAATTCTGAAAACCATTACAAAACACCACAAATTCCTTGTCTGAAACGACATTTGTGTAACTTACCCTTAATCTAAGTTTTTTTTTTTTAAATTAGGACAATTTCTACAAATATTTTAGAATTACATTAATACGTTTTACTCTTCATAATATACAATAAGATTTCTACAAATTCATAAACTTGTAAATAAGTTGTGTACAATGCTATCGGAGTTACTCGCATTATGTCAGGCTCTCTGAAGTCTGTCACAACACCACGACTTTTCAATGATAATGAAATTCTTTGTGCATCCACATGTATGATTGATACATGGCCTCCTCTCTTCTCATCTTCTCTAAGATTGCCCACACTAAACCCGTAATGTACTAGCTTCGTATCGATAAGATACATCAAGTACGCTGTTATATGCAATGATTTCTTTCTTATGTTATTTATTCCTGCTTCATTGAATATTTCGAGTGAACCTTTCAAAGGTGCCATTGAAAATAAAGAAGGTGTTCCGATTTGCCAACCGTTGGCATTTCTCTGATGATCGAATTCCTGCTTGAACTGAAATCTATTTTCATCCTTGTTGCCGTACCAGCCGGCTAGACCTGGACTTAATTTGAAATGTTTTTTATTCATGTACAAACCAGCGCAAGACCCTGGACCTCCGTTCAGGTATTTATAAGTGCACCAGACGGCGAAATCTATGTTCAAAATTTGTAAATCTAGATCTATAACACCTATCGCATGACTTATATCCAATCCGATGATAATTCCAAGTTCGTGCGCTTTCTCACAGATTCTCTTTAATTCTAAAACTTGCGAAGTTTTGTAGTAAACAGCTGGAAGAAGGAGTAAAGCGACATCTGTCGTCATTGAGTTTATAATAAGATCTTCTTTCATGAAACTTCCTTGACAACGAACGACCTTGACTGCATCGCTGGGTGCTAAGTTATTTAATCTGACTTGACTGTCAACGGCGTAGCGGTCCGATGCAAAATTAATATCATCAACTAATACTTTATATTTTTTTATTGTCGGTTTATATAATGTGCACATAGCTACATGTATATTAGAGGTACAAGATCCAGATATAACAATTTCATTCGGCTGTACTTTTATCAAAGGGGCCATTAGTTCAGCCAGGAGACTTGAATATTTTACATATTGGTAGTTATTGTACATCCAAATTCTAACGCCTTCTTTCTTCCAAACTTCCAAAAGATCGTTTAAGCTTTTCTCGGCGTCAATCGAAGCCAATCCTACGGAATGACCACAAAGATAAATTTCTCCTTTCGTCTGATAAAATCTATGCGTGAATTGTCTCAAAGGATCTAATCTGTCTAACGTCTTTGGATATTCGACGTCTTCTTTGAAATTACGATCCATTATGTAATTTTTTATTACTGTAATATTTAGTAATAAACTCACGAATGATAAACAATAACGTTTCACTTTTTGTAAATAAATTAATTAAATTTAATGTTACAGGAATTATTTTTAGAAATATTTAGAACTGTCTTTATTGTAGTTACATTTTAATGTTCACAATTGTTTTATTCAGTTTAAAATTAAATTTTGTAATCAAAACAGGTTTCTTTAATTAATATAAAAACATTTAATAAGTTCATTGACCCTGTTGATAACTTTTATTGCAGTTCATTTTTATTTTAATTACATTAATAAAAGTATGTCAATACTTTTATATCTATCTAAAAGACCTTATCAATAATGTTTGAAATAAAAACATAACGGTTATTATCTAGTTTGACCTTATTTTGTGGCAACACCGTATCGTTTTCCTGAATTTGGGAATTTTTTTCATGACACTGGTATACTTTTGCGTTACGCATACTTTTGACATTTCGAAAATGTGTCATGTTACGTTTTCGGGTCTCCGATGCTTTCTAAAAATGGATAGGCCATTGCTTAAAAATGATAGCAAAAAGCATTTGCTACGACTTAAATGCCTGCTAAACAGTTACTGACACTTAATTCCATCTCTATTATTAGTTCGATTCCTCTGCACTGCTACCACCGGCAACCGTCAGCGCCAAAATAGCGAAAATCATATAGGCACAAAAACCACAGTTTATAGCCTGACTATATATAGACGTCAGTGAGGTTCTTGGTCTATGGTTTTTTTTTAATACAATGCAAGAATTTTTTTAACACAACGCCAGACACAATACAAGGAGTTTTTATTAAATATGCCAAATGACAGACGTCCACATGACAATTATTACAATGTATTGACAACTGCTATAATGAGCATAATAAATAGAATACATTTAAAGAGATATTTACCAAATATATTTGTATGGAACGTCAAACATTTGTCACAATGTATGCCGAAGGCTTACGGTTCGGTAGAGGTGTATCGCACGCATATGCTAAACGGTGTGAGGGTGGCCGCGGCGCAGTCGCTCGGAGCCCAGCTTAGTGCATGTACTATTATGTTCCAGGTATACCATAACTTTAGTAACAACGCGGTAGTTAGGCTTATATAGTTTAACAGTGGGAGACGCCAGGAACAGTGTAGACAGACGTCAATTCGAAGTAATTCTGCTTACAGTCTGATGAGTGTGTTCTGGAGTCCTAATTTTAGTCCTCTTTCCACCGTTTTCTTATAAAGAAAGACTGAGACGGAGAAGTGGATTGAATGGAGGAAGGGATGCATGCATAAGGGGAAATATTGTCTTTCTGTGCGTCTAGCGTGCTTATGGTAACAGCGTAATAGAAATAGAGTATAACTTCTAAGTTGCACTTTAGGTGGGGTCCCGCCTCGAACGCGACAACCAGGTGGGCGCGAGTCATTTCGTGCGCGCGATGTCTGGTTGTTCGGGGCACGCGTATTCTCTGGTGGGTAAGGCACGCGTGCTGCAGCAGCGCGGCTGCTACCTCACCTGCTCCAGCGACCGCCAAACCATAGCCTTTACTCTGCGCTGCCCGTTGCCACACTTCCACGACCTCAAGTACTTCCTCATAGATACCGCCACCAGGTAACATAAATATATTGCAAGTATATCCATTATAAAGTCTGCAGAACAATTCGTTTGAGTAGTTTAGTAACACAACATTTCCAATAGATGGCGGTTTACTTTAAGTTATCTTACCAACATTTTGCTAAACACTCGTAACAAACTGATATTATGTAAGAATGGTATTTTTACTATTCCACATAATGAACGAAATTCAATATTGTTTCACAAAAACTATAAAATGATTATTTGTTAGCAATTATGTGTAATAAATTATGACATTTTTAAACAGTAATTTCAACTCCACGGTCAGCGGCGCCGTGGCTTAGTTGGTTAAAGCGCCTGTCTAGTAAACAGGAGATCGCGAGTTCGAATCTCGCCGGGGCCTAGTTTCGAAACTAACTTTTTGTTATTTTTACAAACTAATTTCTTTAATGTTTAACATTCCTTTATATTTGTAATAAAATTCAATGAAAAACATAGAAGTTTGTATCATAAATTTAAAGTTTCACACTTCCTAAATTTATTGCATCCATAAATGACATTGTCAACCCGTGCGATATTATTTCTGATTTCTGAATTTGGCTATTCATATAAATTTTTCGATTAAATACGTTGCTACACTTATAAGCCGGAAATATCATTCACACTATATATTTATATTTTCTTTCAAATAAGTCTACATCTCAGATGCTGTTTCCACGAATGGGAGGTAACCGACATAAAACCTTTCATAAAAGACAACTTGCTGCGTATGGGCTGTGAGCAACGCGCTGTGGACCTGGTGCAGAAGGCATTCTGGGCTGGCCCTCTGCATCAGTCCATATTCTGCGACGAGGTCAGGGTCGATAGTATGAGCTCCGCTAACCTCAAGGACTTTGTGACTAACTTCACGCCGAGCAACTGCACCGTCACCAGCTGCGGCATACCATTCGAGGATACCCTCAAGTTGGCTGAGAGTCTTCATCTACAGTGTGTGCATGTTGGTGCTTTTTATATATTTTAAACTTAAATTCCAATACGTTGTACTTTAGTGGATGTTTATTGAGGTTATCCTTTTTTAAGGATCTATTAACGCTAAGTTAATTCTTATTCGTTGTCCCTAGGACGTATGCTGTGAGCAAGAGCACATGTTCTCATTCCCCCGCGGCGGTTACGAGTGCCACGACCTCGGCTCCGGCAGTGACACTTGCGTAGCAGCCGCGCTGCTCGGCTGCGGCACACAGGACTTGTGGTCACAACCATATTTACTAAGCGCCTACCCATTTATAATAGCAATTCTCAAGATTTTTGTTAAATATAAACCATTCTTGCGATGCAAATACAAAGTTAAAAGACATGACAATTTACATAATTATTTAAAAACACTGAATGTTAACTTTACAGTTGCCTCATGAAGCACTCGATTCTTGCGGTCACTTGGGACATGCTTTTCTCTCAGTTGCGTGAGCGCGCGCTGGATCGCATCGTGCGCGACAAGACGCCGCTCGGCTGCCAGACCGACGAGCTCTATACCACGTATAAGCCCTTCAGCATCTCTTATATGGAGACTGGTATATTTGGTAAGCGAATAATATGTGTCTACAAACTCAAAGCACATTCTAATGATGATTAAACCTGGATGTGCGAATTTAATTGTTCCAATTTGTTTATCAGGAGTACTGGCAAAAAGTCATTCTTCTAATATCAATAAAGTGGCAAACACGGCAGCGCAACTATTGGCCAACGTGGACAAACTTAGTGTCGAACATATCGCCTGCGGCAAGAAACGACTTAGTAACACTAAATAAATATTTAAACTGTAAACTATTTCAAATTTCACAAGAACACGTATTAGAGGATGAAATATATGCTTAATTTTCAGAATTAAATCTCGCTTTAAATGAAGAAAACTGTGTCAATGTCTCTGAAAGTCTCGGGCTCCAAATGGCTAGTAAAATACATATTGACGGTCCGTTGAATGCTTATTGCGTTATAGATTCCATTCCCAATGAAGAGGTGTTACAGCTGGCTAAAGATATTGTAAGCAGAAGTAAGTGTGCCCAATTTAATCTAATTAAATAATGCATTTATATTTTACGTTAAAAATGTTCCTCCTTATTTTTATTCGTGAATCGTAGTTCTTAAAGATTAACAACCTACTTTAAGAAAGTCTAATAGTAATAGTTTATAATTTGGTCATTTAATTAATAATGTCATCTTATTGCGAAGATTGATGCAAAGTTTTCAATCGTTTAAAATATTGTGATTATTTCAGAAAGTGACATGGCTTTTGCAATTGTTGGTGATGTCGATGCGGTCTCTCAGAATGAATTATATGACAACGTACGCTGAATGCTTTTGAAAATGAAATAAATGTAGATGTTGGATTTTATTTTAATTCTTTCCTACAGTTTAAATCTTAAAGATGTACAACATATTTTTGATCTAAATCCAAAAACTAGATTTTTATGATTCAATCAGTTTTACTTTAGCAAGCTAAAATGTCACAATACCAAGGCAGGCAAAAATACAAGGTAAGTATCGTATCGAAAATGCAAACGCACGGGTAGAAGTTACAATAATACATTTTTATGATCTGTTAAAAATTATATAGTCTGGATTAGCCAAAGAACCTGCAACATTGAAGATTTTTTGTCGTTGTCATATGCATGTCACTGTCATTCTTGATTCTTGATTTAGATTTGAAATTTTTCTATTCTGTTGAAATATTAGTTTGTAAATAAACTAAATAATAAAATATGTTTAATAATTCTTCTTAGAATGTAAGCTACAGTAGTTAAAAAACAGAACAAAATGAATTCTTTGCACACAACTGTAAAATGTAAGGAGGAGCATCTTTAAGGTTATGTATGGATATGACTTTATGTAATTGATAACTTTAAATATTTCAGATTTAAGGCGCATAAATATAGCGACCGCTTTAAATACCTTAAAAGAATGTAAAAACCCACCTAAATATGTTACAAAAGAAGGCATTTTTAACAACTGCAAAAGTATTACATTCAGTCCACGAAGTATTGGATTTGAGATAGAAGATAAGCCAAATATAAGCCGCGTAAAACAAGATCCAGTGTCATACATCCCTATAATAAATCCTCGTTCCATCTTACCTATTATTGACACTAATTGGCGCAAAGATGAGATTGGCTTACCTGCTATTCAACAAGAGGAAAAGCAGGCAGTTCGTCTCATCGTCATAAGGCGCAAGAAAATGAAGAAACACCAAAGGAACAAGCTTTGGAAAAGAATGAGGCACCGTTGGGCTCGGGTTAGTATCAAAGGATGTGCTACATTTATATTATTTCCTTGATTGTTTATTTTCAATGTTTATGAACAACATTTAAATTAGTTTTGTAATCTCTTAAAAAATCTTTACCTTTATGTCAAAGCGACATGAGTATAATTGCTTAACATAATTGACCTTAAAACAGCTATTAGCTTTTGAAGTTATTGAATTTATCTCATAGTGAAACTGACCAATATTACAGGTCAAGAAGCGCAGACGTCAAATCAAAGAGAAGATCTTCCAGAATGAACTGTTGGCGATGGTGAAAGCGGCTAATGAGTTCTCTGCGGAGCAGTATGTGGCCAGCAAGATAGAGCGCGCCAACCACACTCCACTGCCTACACGTTGGAGACACAAGCGTCTGCCAGCTTTCATTATACGACAGCTACTCGGAATTGATAAGAAAATTAACTACAAACACACTGATGTCTACAAAGCTTAGAATATATTATAATCTTAAAAAACTAACACATTTTCTTGCATTTTATAGTTTCACTATTCTTAAAAATGTGAGCAATGATGTAAAACATTTCTGTTAGTAGAGAAATATAGAGTGAAATTATTAAGTTCTTTTTTTAATTTAAAAATCAAAATAATTTCTATAAATAATTTCTTGCGAGGATTTCGGGATTGTTGAGTTATTTTGTAAATTCATGTAAAATAACGCCATCTATGGAAAATTAAACTGCACAACTCTTACGTCAGTACGAACTTAGGTAGGCTCAGTAGTACTCTATAGACATAAGAGATGGCGCTGTACCTATTCAATGTAATCATGAAAACATTTTCTGTATTTTCGTACGTGTTTGTTTTCATAACGATTTGTGGCACATTGCCAATTCAAATTACATAGGACTAGGTGTATTATACAAAATTAAAATAAAGGTCCACTATTTTGTATTCAAGTTGAATTTTAGTTGGAGTATTAACCGTGGGTTTTTAAGACCTCTATTTTGGGTATAGATAATGACGGGGATGATGTAATATATTTTATACATAGATTTTATTGTCAGAAACAAAATCATACAAATTATTGTAGTACCGTTATTCGGTTAGACAAACTCGACCAGACTATTTTATATCCCTTGAGTTATGGATATAAAGTCATCTAGACATTTTTCTTAGGGCATTGATTTTAGTTATAAAACTTCCAGTGGTTTAAGCTCAAGGCCGCCACAAAGTTTACAATATAAACGCGCGATGTCATTACGATAATAACAAAGATGGAACTAGATAATTTATAGCAAACTAGTTGTCGCCCGCGATTCCGTCTGCGCGAAATTGAAAACAAATTTAATAAGTAGTCTACGTGTTCCAGACTGTTATACATCTGTGTCAAATTTCTTCAAGATCTGATGAGCCGTTCCGGAGATACCTTTAAACAAACATCCATCCATGTAAACATTCGCATTTATAATATTAGTAAGATTTAATTTATCAAGATGAGCAATGGCTTTATTATAGTAGCATTTTTACGTTAAGCTATGTTATCTATCTATCTATCTATCTATGCGGTGAGCTACATATATCAATTAGTATTATTGTAAAATCAGACATGCGCCATTTTGATAATGAATTAACATACACGTGTAAAATTATATGTTCAGAATATAAAAGCGAGTGTCAGTGGAGATGTTCTTGCTTAGCATATGTATAGGCTTTTATATATATTTTTATATAACATTATATATAAATTAAAATTACATCTGGAGCCAAACTAGTCTCGGAAGTTGTTCTGCTAAGACGTCGATCTTAAGGTAATACATAATTATTAGTAACGAACATTGGGATAATTTTATTTTAAATTCATGTTTATTTCTTTATAAATATCACACACAAAAAAGGTTTGACTATATTAAAGCTAGTTTTTAATCATTTAATTGAATATTACTTTAAATCTAGAAAAAAAATTAACATTATAAGAAAATTATTGCGTTTTTGAACCAAATAAAGATTTATAAAGTCTTCAACAAGTAAATTCTTTTATTGTTAAAATGGGTATACTTTTTTATGTTAAATTAATTACTTTTTTAAACATTGGTAAAAAAAAAACTTTATTACACGGCTTTGTATACTTGTCAATATTTATATTTCATTGATGAATTAAAAAAGTAGCAAATTATACGTTTTTTTGTTAGATGTTGGCGAGTTTGCTAGTTAGCTTAGTCGTCCTGGCTTTGTTCTGGGTGTTCAAGCAATGGCAGGACACGAGGAACTTCTGGGCCAAGAGGCAAGTGCCTCATCTGCCTCCGCACCCAATAGTCGGCAGCCTCACATTCATGATGAAGATGAATCCGGTTAGTATAATAATACCAAGTAATTTAAGTTCCTCCTACTTTACAATATGTGTAATAAACTTACTGAAAAAAGATCTTAATTAGGAAAGAAAAATATATTTAAAACATCGAAAAAAAACCAACGCCCTTTTATTCCAACTTGCTTGCATTGCCAACGTAGATAAATTTAATTTATTTATTTATTTATTTATTTATTGGAAGACCAACAGCCATTTTTACAAATTAAGTACAACAATAGTTAGTAAACATATAGCCAATTATAGGTCCTCGCCGATAGTGGCATTTTACACAAATGTTTTAGCGCGAACAGATATTATACATTAACAAGAGTCAAAAAGCACAAAAAGAATTACAAGATTACAAAAAGAAAAGCTTGATTAGTTTAATTATGTTTGTTCTTTAGTTTATTACTTTGTTCTTGACGAAAAATTTCCGATAAAAAGCCTGCTTAATAGAATTACTTGTAGAATTAAATATATCTAAGGTGGAACTTTTAGAGTGATTGTTAACAAAGAAGCCAGCTCGTAACATAAATGAATTTTGTCGATAGTTAGAAAATGCCATAGGAAGATGAATAGGAGTGTGATGGCGTGCTGATTTCTTTGGTACATTAAACGATATTTTAGAGAGAAGAGAGGGACAGTCAATACTACCGTTTATAATATTTAACATAAATATTATATCTGCCACTTCGCGTCGAACAACAAGAGGGAGAATATGAAATTTACCGCATAAATTTAGGTAATCTTGAGAGCGAAAATTATAATTTAGCCGGAAGCATAAATACTTAATGAATTTTTTCTGTATGTTTTCAATCCTAGAGATGTATATGTTATACCGCGGGTTCCACACTTGACTGGCGTACTCGAGTATGCTGCGTACGTAACTACAGTACAATATTTTGTAGGTTTTCGCTTCCTTGAAGCTGTGTGACGCACGCATTACGAATCCTAGTGCCTTATATGCTTTAGATATAATGGTATCTATATGATTATCAAAGAATAATTTGTGGTCGTGGATAACACCCAAATCTCTGACCTGGAGACATCTTTCCAGCCTCGTCTGTTTAATTGTATAATCGAATGCGATCGGGTTAGTTTTCCTGCCGTATGTTACAACCAAACACTTCGAGGGGTTTAAGTCTAATTTATTTTGAATGCAGTAGTTGCTGAGACGATTTAAGTCTGACTGCAGCGCGACAGCGTCATCAGAATTAGAAATATAAGTAAATATCTTCATATCGTCTGCAAAGCATAGTACCTGTGAATGATGGAAACATTTATCTATGTCGTTTACAACGATAAGGAACAACAGAGGCCCGAGCAAGGAGCCCTGCGCTATTCCGCTAGGCAATGGTATCCAACTAGATATATAGTTATTTATGACAACGGCCTGTGATCGATTGGATATGTACGAGGAAAACCATCTAAGGAGGTCTCCCCGTATGCCCATCAGTTGTAGCTTGTACAGCAACACCCCATGGTCAATTCGATCGAAGCACTTGCTATAATCTGTGTAAACGACATCGACTTGCTTCCCTTTGTCCATCGCGTCAGTTATGAAGTCGTTAAGCATAACGAGATTGGAGGTGGTCGACCGACCTCGAAGAAACCCATGCTGGACGTGACTAAATGAGTGTTTTATGGCCGCGTATAGCTGATTGTATATAACCTTTTCCAGCACTTTAGCAAGTATGCACAATTTAGAGACTGGTCTATAATTGGTCACATCAGTTCTCGGACCTTTTTTATGAATAGGTGTAACGTATGCACGTTTCCATATTGACGGGACGGTACACATGGACAAGGATTTTTGGAATAATACGGTAACAGGGATAGATAATGTTTCGGCACAGTTGACCAGAAATAGGGGGGGCAAGTGGTCCGGTCCGGCGGATTTAGTATTATCTAACGATTTTAGGTATTTCTTTATCTCGTCGTGGTGTACGTCGATGGTACCGATATCTGACAACGGATCGCACGCAATGTTTTGGTGACGCATATCTAAACATGCTTGTGGATCATGAGAGTAAGTTGAGCTAAAGTAATTCGAAAACAAGTTGCATATTTCGACGCCATCCGATGCCACTAAGTCGCCGTAGTTGACCAAACCGGGAATTCCTGTTAGAGTTTTTTTCGTTTTAACGTATGTCCAAAAGTATTTGGGGTTATTCTTAATAGACTCCTCCGCAGTTTTGATATAATTCTCATAACATTCTTTCTCTAATTTCTTAACCCTATCCCTGAGTAGCCTATACGTCTCAAGGTCGGACCTATTGTTATATTTTTTAAATTTCATGAAGTATTTGTGTTTTTCCTTAATAGATCTTTTAAGTGCCGAAGTGTAATGAGCAGGGCATGATTTACTTTCGTGTACTATAGTCTTGGGAATATGTTTGTCTATTAACTTATTAATAATTGAGTAAAAACAGTTGACGCATTCGTCAACGTCAGTTGAGGAAAGTTCGATATCCCAGTTTATGTTCGAAATTTCTTCATTTATTATGTCATATTTTCCCTTATTGAATTGATATTTGACTCTTGGGGCAATCTTTAATATAGGGATTTCAACGGTCGGCAAGTAACAAATAATAGCCTTGTGATGAGGGTCGATGGGAACTAAAGGTTCGTCACACTCCGCGACCTTAACAAATTTATTGGCTAAGACGAGGTCTAATAGTCTACCATGCAAGTTGTGTACGTGGTTGTACTGGGCGAGGCCTAGCGCGCTCAACGTGTCGAGCAGGGCGCACTCGTCCGCACCGTTTCCGTGGCCAGAATAATATACTTATAATTATTATACTTCTAATATTTGCGATGTAAACCCAAGAAATCCCCTGCTAAAGTTACATGTCTATGTTTTTGGACAAACATACAAACGTTGATTCAAAGGACGTCGATTTTAATTATATTTGTACTAACATTTGTGCATTCCTAAGGGAGTGTGGATGCGGGAGTTGTACGATCGTTTCCGTGCACCGTACGTGGGCGTGTGGTGGTTGTGGCGGCCAGCGCTGGTCGTGCAAGACCCGGAGATAGCGCGTCGTATCCTCGTCAAAGACGCGCACATCTTCAAGGACCGCTACCTCTCCGGCGGGAAGAGAGACATCATTGGCTCTATGAATCTCTTCACCATGAAGGTTCGTTTGGTGTATAAATTTTGGAGAAGATTCCTAGTTTTAGTAGTTATAATATTTGCTAAACTGTTCAACTAACATTGTCGTTTTGTTATGTATGTTAATTATATAAAAAAACGTGTTTAGCAAATAATGCTGAATATCCTTTAAATGTTATTTGTTGTAGATTTTAGAAACTGAACGTTATTTACTTAACACTGTAGTAAATTAAATATTGTGTTCAAACATGTCATCTAGACATCTAAATTGTTTAAACTAGCTGTCGTACGCGACTCCGCGTAGTATAAAAACTCAATAAGTAGCTTATGTATTCTTCCAAATGATGTTCTACATCTAAACCAAATTTCCGCGTGATCCATGCAATCGTTGTGGAAATATTTTCTAACAAACATCCATCCATCCAAACATTCGCATTAGAAATAATATTAGTGAGATAACGCGAGATCGTTTGTACCTCATTTGAATATAATTTGCATAACATAATAATTTCCTCTTAACACGATACAACTATTTCTATTATAATATTATTATGGTAACGCGCACAGAGCCCGCTGTGGGGGACGCTACGACGTCGCCTGACCCCGGTGTTCACATCAGCCAAGCTGAGGAGTCAGCAGAGGCACTTCATTGATAAAACCCAGCAACTCATGCAGAGGATCAAAATGGACATGGACAAGGAGAAACGTGTCAACTTGAGAGTAAGCAGGTTTTTATTATTAAAATTTTAAAGATTGTGTTTCGGTGAACCCTCTGGGGTCCACGGAAGGTTTTTGGCGGTGTACAATGGCGGGTAATAAAGTATAGAGTTACAAGTTGAAGAAATATAAAAGCGTGGGAATGCGTGGGTGGTTTGGTTTAGATGGTGTACTCGGACTACACGACGGACGTGGTGGGTCAGACGTCGTTCGGTGTGGCGAGTGACTCAACGCTGAGTGGTCGCGGCCCGCTGCGCGCAGTCACCCTCGACTTCATGGAGTTCAGCTGGTGGCGCGGCCTCGCCTGGGCCAGCATATTCTTCTATCCCGATATCATTGGTATATTCGGGTGAGACTTTTAAACCTCTGTTCCACTACGGCAGCTAGGCACGTCACTGCTGTTTCTATGAGCTCGTTATAAAGATTCAAACTTTATGATAGTCCCTTCTTAGTTCTCATGTTTATAGGTTTGGACGGTACTATACCATTTTAGCTGCGACCGTGACTGTTTGTAGCTTGGCAGTCGTGTTTGAGTGGTACGACTAGTCGTTTAGTGGAAAACATCTATTTACTTACCTAATATTTGAATTTGTATAACTGGTTTCGCAATAGTCGAGCATGTACGAATACTTTGAATTCTTTTATTTCAATCACATTAATTTTATATCAGTACATAATTGAATTCGAAACTCTGCGCGAGGACTCCTTTCTAATGTAGGTAATAATTTATTTTGATCGTATTTTGCTTTGTAGATGTTTTTATTTTTAGATTAAACGACCGGTTTATGCACTTGCTTGTTTACCGTTTTTTCATTGCATCGTTTATAATGTTAGATCATTAAATTAAGCATAGTTTATTTATGTTACATTAAGTTTTTTGTTCGTTTCAAACTGCTTCACTAAATCGCTTATTAACAACCGAGAGGTTCTTTAAGGTTAATGAAGTAGGAGCAATGTACGAGGGATGAATTATCGGTGCAGTTGATGACGTCACATGTTCCAGGTTCACATTTTTCCCGAAGGCGGCGACAGATTACTTCAAGCAGGTATACAGTCAGATAGTGCGCCAGCGCGGGGGGTATGCAGCACCCGCTCAGGGGGGAGACCTCTTCGACGCGCTGCGCAAGATAAAGCAGGAGAGCGACAACAATGGAGAAGGTGTTACCTTGAGCCGCTAACATATTTGAAAAGCCCTATACTTGAACCTTTGCTACCTAAAAATTTGTATCTTGGATTTCTAAATTATGCTGGTAAAAAATTAGTTGAAAATCTGTGTAACATCGGTCGAGCGGGTCGTGCGAGCTGCCGCTGCGACCTCCACCACAGTTATATTGACATCGTTGTATACCACTAGATATCGGTGACGACGTGCTGGTGGCGCAGGCGGCCATCTTCTTGCAGGGGGGTTTCGACACGACTGCCTCGGCGATGGCGTTTGCCACATACGAGTTGGCGCATCTGCCTCATGTCCAGGTATCACATCGACAACTTACTTAGGTAAATTAGTGACTCTCAAAATGGTTTATTTCCTTCTGTATAGTAATGTTAATGTTTCAGGACAAATTGTATGATGAGATCATGGAGATTAAACAAAACATGGGCGAAGGTGAGCTGGACATGGACAAGCTGCAGGCCGCCAAGTATCTCGAATGCGTTATTAAAGGTGACTACTTTTTGTACTTTCAACAATGTGAAACAAACGACACCATCATTTTAACACTTTGAGTAACATTCCAGAGGCTCTGAGGAAGTATCCGCCGATGGGTTGGCTGGACAGAATCGCTTCGGTGGATTACGAGGTGGACGACAAGCTGACCATCCCCGCGGGCACCCCCGTCTACGTGAACGCCATCGGCATGCACTACGACCCCCTCCACTTCCCCGACCCAAACCTCTTCGACCCTGACCGCTTCCTGCCGGAGAACGAGAACAATATCAAACCTTTCACTTATTTCCCTTTCGGTGAAGGTCCCAGGGTTTGTATCGGTAAGTTGACACTGAGAAAGCAATTGAACTTTAACTAAATCGCCTGTTCCTTTTGGGTGGTGTGAGTTCAACTTGGAGATCTTCTTGTGGTCACTACTACTCACTTTTGATCACTTATTTACGGAACCTCGCTTTTGTTCACCTTTTTTATGGTACGAAAGTAAACCCAATAATGTTATGTTGTCAGGACGTAGATTCGCGATGCAGAACATGGTCCACATGCTCTCCAACATAGTTCTGAACTACAAGGTGGTGCCGACCCCCCTCGGGCCGCCGCACACAGACATACCCATTGAGAAGAAGGGCTTGTTCCTCTTCCCAGGTGAAAATCTGTACGTACAATTTGTACCGAGAGATGTTTGAGTAAATGTGATTAACTACAATTTTTTCATATTTAACACAACTGACACCCTTTAGTTTCAACGAGGCCTTATTTATCATTTAACAATTGTTAATGAGGAATTATATATTTTTTTTGTTTATGCAGTTAAGTTTTTGGTGATCGTTTATATGACATTTTTTTTCTTGAGTTACTTATTGTTTTTTTTTAGGTTAACAGATTACAAAACTATTTACCAATTACGTATTTATTATTTTTAGCTTTTCACGAAGTAAATAAATACTTGTCTTTGACAAAATAATCAAACTTATGAAGTAATATTAACTTTATTTTGAATTATGATGATATTAATTTCGGAGAAATATAACAAAGGGACAATATTTTAATACTAGAAAATAGACAATAAAAAAATCTTATATTTTTTAATTTTTTGATGAAAAATACTTATTTTTACCGGATTGATTTATTTTCCTAATTAAATTAAATTTAATTAAAGTTAAACAGACTAAAAGTATAATTGTTTATAAGAAAATGAACGCACAAGGAGACTGCCAAATGATAAAAATGCCGTTATACAATTTTAAGAAGAATTTATTAACAACTATTAAAAGCTGCTGTTCTAGACTTGAACATTGTGTATATTTTCTCTCCCGGCGAAACAAACATCCCATTCTTTTCGATGTCAATATCTGCGGCCAGTTTGCCGTTTGGTGTTGGCAGGATCTTATAGTTGATAATGACGTGACTCAGCGCCGTCAAGAAAGTCTGCTCACCGAAGCGACGTCCTGGGAATTCAGTGAAAAGATCCAGGTTATAGTATAATATAAATTAATTTTAGACGTTTGTTACACTGTTTTGTAAGTTATTTTAAATTTCAACCAAACTTTAACGTTTAGCATTAAAATTTTATTGAAACTTATTCCCTTTCCATGTATCCTCTCATCTGGAAAGTACACTTCCACTTCCCATCCTTTCCTTATAAGAAAAAAGGTGGGAAGGGAAAGAGGACTAAATGAGGCCTCCGGGACGCACACTCATCAGACTGTAGTTGAAATTGCTTCCACTTCACGCCTGTCTTCTGTGTGGTCGTGGTATATCACCGGGCGAGCCGGGACAATTCGTGCGAAGATGTTAAAGCAGGTTCTCCCACAGTCGTTAAGATGGGGTGATATTCATTTATCAGGCAAAAAATGATGTGAACTAAATTAAATGAATTATTTTCATTACCTATACACATTCTTGGTCCTTCACCGAAAGGTATATAAGTAAAAGGCGGTATTTTCTTTTCGTTTTCTGGCAGAAATCTATCTGGATTGAACTGCGTGGGCTCGGGATATATGTTAGGGTCGTAGTGCAGGCCTAGACCGTTGACGTAGACAGGTGTGCCAGCGGGGATCGTCAACTTGTCGTCGACTTTGTAGTCAGTAGCCGCGACTCGGTCCAACCATCCCATTGACATATATTTTCTGAACGTTTCTATAATTATGTAAACATTATTCTATTAGTATAAATAGAACACTGTAGAGTGCGGAAGACGCTTTTTCCATAGGTCCAATTGATAGGTTTAAGAAATTGGACAATTGATAGTTGCTTTCGGAGTTATAAATATTGTTATTATGACCATTAAAATATGGTTAATTACCTTTCATAACACATTGCATTAGTGTTAATTCATTAAGTGAGTTTGGATCAAGATCTTTGTTCCCGTTTCTTTTCTTAACTTCACAAACTTCATTATAAAGTTTCTCCTGAAATATAATTTTCATCATTTTAATGTTCGTATTTAATATCATTTTAATGCACTCTTTTTAAACACATTCTTATACAATATCGAGCTGTTATATTATTGACGACATTAACCAATGTGAAATATTTATCAATACCAATTTTAATTTTAAAATGTAAATAAAATACTTATGTAGTTCTATTTAATGTGTGAATGGGGTGGTAAGTTATCTTACTTGTAGTTGTGGAAGGAATGCAAGTTCGTAAGTACAGAAGGAAAGTGTAGATGCCACTGTGTCAAAGCCGCCTTGCAGGAATATCGCTGCTTGCGCAATCAATGTATCTTCGGGGATTTCTGCCACAAATGAAGAGGTTTCTTTTACAACGAAGAAATAATTATAATCATAATCATTGTAGTTGTCACGTAATTCTATCATAAAGTCAGATTTTAGCTTTTAAAGTTAAATATACCTCAACAACAATCTGAGTCTTGAATGTTATCTGTATTTTATATAATAATTATCTTCTTAAGCTTGTTAAAAATAACATACTGATTAGATACCTTTATCTTCTTTTTCATAGTCTTGTTTTATCTTGCGCAGCACATCTATGAGGTCCTTGTTCTCAGATGTGTCACCGTTGTATCCGCCGCGCTGAGTGATGATTTTGTGGTACACCTTCCTAAAGTAGGCCACCGTACTCTTCGGGAACATGGAAAATCTGAAATACATATTTTGGAAAAGATAGATTCGCGTTATCTTTGATATATATTTGTAACAACGATCTATATTAGTATGTAAGTAAGAAAATAGATTTTAGTCTCCAAACAAAATACTCAAGGATATTCCACCCGTAAGTATATAAAAGTTCTTGTTACATGCAAGCTTGAGCTCAATTACACCTGACCACAACATCAGAAACATGTTTTCTCTAACCGATGTAAGGAATAAAGTATGTAAGACTTACCCAAATACATCCACCATTTCTGGGAAGAAGAATATGCAGGCCCAGCCGATGCCGCGAAGCGCGCTGTACTTCATAAAGTCTTTTGTGACTGTCCGCAAGGCGCTCTGCCCCGTTATCGTCGCGTCGCTGTCTACTCCGAACGATGTGGTGCCGATCACATCGGTCGAGAAGTCCGTGTACATTAACTGTTGGGATACCACTTAGTAAACACCCAGTAAGACTAGTTGTGGTGAGAAAAATGTAATTGCTTCAACTTATGTTTTATTTTTAAACCGGTACATACTTTGACATCCACTCGACCGTTGTTCTCCATATCATTGTGGATGCGCTGCATGAGCTGCTTGCTCTTGAGGGTCATAAAGGCCTGCAGGTGCCGCAGACGCGACGCCGTGAACATCACCGTGAGACGTCGCCGCATCTCAGACCACGTCGGATCCTGCCACAATTGGATTTTTTTAGATTTTTTGGCTGATTTAAAGGCTGTAAAATTATTTTAAGAAAAAACATAATTCGTCTCTCATCTCATTAAATAGATTTGGGTTCTATTGAATTTTCAAAAGGTAAATTGGGGATGAAAATTATAATTAAACTGTCGTTTATTAACCTTCTGAAGGCAAGAATAGAATTTTTCAGATCAAAAAAAAATTGTCTCGTAACTTTTATAGCTAATTAACTGTAGGTAAATACTGCGTTTGTTAATCCAAAATTATCTAGAAATCATTCATTCTAGAAACTGCATCTTATGAAAGGTTTAAACAACTATTTGCAGACTAACATTAACAGTGAATATATTCCGTCCTCCGATTGGGTCTTTGGTCCCGGAGCTGAGGAACCTGTCTCTGAAGACGGCGGAGTCCTTGACGAGGATCCTACGGGCGATTTCCGGGGAGTTAACGAGGAGTGCCGGTCGCCAGAACAGCCACAGTCCGAGATAAGGTGTGGGCACACGCCCGTACAAATCCCGCATCCAGAGACCCTGGTAACCAATGTATGTACATTTAGACTCTATAAATTTACTTAATATGTAAACTAGCTGTCGCCCGCGACTCCGTTCGCGCGTTTCTACATCTATGCCAAATTTCATCAAGATCCGTTGAGCCGATCCGGCCTTCAAACAAACATCCATCCATCTAAACAATTGCATTTATAATATTAATAAGAAAGAATAGGAATAGTATAGTAACATAATAGTGGAATAAGGGCAATTATTTTGCTAAGCAATTTCCTTTAATTGTTATTTTTAAACATCGTAAGAGTTAATATAAATGCACCGACGGGTCATACATAATTGCAATCTGCATATCAAACGTATAATCTTGATGTAGTGTATTGTTGTGCTATCAGAGGACAACTGCATCATAAGATATATATTAATTCTATAATTCGGGAATCATAAATATTGATGTACATAAAGATATTACATAAAATATCATATCATATTCTATTTATATAGAAAATGCAATAAGAATATATACAGTTATCCTAACTATGCTAATATTATAAATTCGAAAATAACTCTGTCTGGTGTTCCCCCTCAAACTACTGAACCGTTTAAATAAAATTTGGTACACTGATAACTTAGAGCCCGAGGAAGGAGATAGGCTACTTTTTAATGCGACACAAGGGTTATAAGTTGAAAGTGGGTATGCAAAATCGTATGGAACTATCGTCATTTTTACAATTATAAGCTTGAAATTTATCTTTTTTGACTGTTAATTAGAGATAAATAAATATGACATGTTCCTATCATTTTCACTGTCAAGGGTGCAAAATAATAATAAGGAATATAGGATGAAAGCAGTTACGATTTTTAAACTCACCGCATTTTGTTTCTGCAAGAAAGTCAAGCTTCCTAGAACAGGATGCGGAGGTAAGTACGGCACGCCCAGGTCAGCCCAGTACCGTCTCACCCGCTGCCATCGTACTCCAAGCCATGTTAGAAGCAGCACTAATATTATCGTAAATAGAACTAACATCTGGAATTATATAAAAATAAACATCGTTAGTTAGAGGGACAAAAGACCAAGAATGATTTTACATTGATTTTTTTACTTTACTATGTTGGTAATACACATGATTGTCCCTCGTTACCCTTCAAAAGGTGACCCTCATTATAAAATTTATTCTGAGCGTAGAAATTTGAGTAAGCCTTTGTATCGTTATAAAAGTGACCAGATAAAAAAAAGGTTTAAAAATAAACGCGCAATACTATTGTTAGGAAGAAAATCCGAAAATGTGCCAGTGTATTGACTCAACACTAGCCTTACCAAAATGTCCACGTTTATGTCCCCTCGCTATTCATTCCGACTCTGGACTTTGTAACGAAAGCACGTCATTTGCGACATAGGATTCTAACTAATACTGTCCAAAAGTAAATACATTCTGAATAAGAAAAATATCGACAAATAAGAAAAAAAATGAAGATGTCTTGGAGTCACTTAATAGTAGCTTTTACCCACTCAGGACTCAGTCCGCGCAGAATAATAAAAAACTTAAGTAGCCCGTTCTACCAGACTATGTTCTACGTATATGCCAAATATCATCGAGATCCATTAAGCCGTTCTGGAGGCACCTTCAAACAAACATCCATCTCTAAACATTCTCATTTATAACATTAGTAAGATATAAAATACTTACATTTGCAATGTAGTCCTGTTTAATTCTTCCGTAACTAATTTCCTGTCTAAACAAATGTCGTAATGAAATATTAATGCAAACATTTTTGTATAAATATTTATATCAACTGTTACGTAATACAATTTATTGCTGTTATCAGTTTTTATCTAAGGATTGTTTTTACAATACGAGACCAAATCAACGTCCGTGGCTTAATTATCTGAATGTAGTAATTTGTTATGTTTTTTAAAATTAAGACAACGGCCAGCAATTGCTGAGGCATTCCCAGAGGAACGAAAGGCAAAAGTCACCACACGATAAGATATCATTTTGATCGTTCAATGTTGAGGCTACAGTATACACAGGATGTTGTAAATTTTGCAAAACGAAGTAATATATTCTATTTTTAATTTACTTTTGAATATTTAAGCTGTACCGTAGTCCGCGAGGTTTCCGGTACAAATTATGGACATAAAACAAACGCAAAAATCCCGCGTGTTATAAAAACCTGTGGAATGAATTATGGCGGACGAGTTTCAAAGTTTTAATGAAATTTTTGTTTGCCTCAGAACATTATTCTAGAAGCTTGTTCTATTAAATATTTTTTTTTGCATTACTTTCGAATATGTTTTATTTTTAATACGAATGAGAAGGCGAATCTGCAGCTATTATTTAATTATAAATTTTTAACTTCCATTGAAATCTGTAGTACAAGTAATTAAGAATGTACTTTTGGCAATAAACAAGTCTAAAAAAAGTGATAAGAACGGAAGATTGTCGTACAATTGACATATTAGACATATTAATTTAATAGCTATTTCGTGATCACTACATTACTCCATAACAACAAATAAATAAATAAACAAAGGCCCTTTCTGCACAATGTAACGTAAATATTCAAACCTAGGCGATTTTAGTCGCTATACGACTAACGCAATAAAATGTCGTAGGGAGTAGTCGCTATGTCTGTACTGACCGTATAGATGATTCGCGTCGACAACTCAACGCTGTGTGTGCGGAGCGCGCAATGCGATACTCGCGACGCGATTTACGTTGTCTTGTGTACGATGAGCCCCACTATATGTACATTCATGATTATTCATGGAGACAAAAATGTTGTCGTCTCCGACAATACGTCAGCGACTTTTGCTGTATACGAAGCCCTATGTCATTGTATTGCTTAAGTCGCTTAATAAACGTGACAAAGCGTAGAAGACACATAGACTTGACGTATTCATATTTAGTAAAGTCGAAGACTCTCAGTAATCTATCTTATTTAACGCTTTACGTTGTTCCTATTTTCAGATGTTTCTGCTTCTGTTAACGCTTGCTGTATTGCTGTTGCTGGTGTGGGTTTACGTTCGTTGGTGTAAAGTAAGACGTTACTGGGCAGACCGAGGTGTGCCCTTCGCTCCACCAAATCCACTGCTCGGGAATTTGACGTTTTTACAGCGTTATAATTCGGTTAGTTACTAAGACTCTTTACTGTTTATTATTACATTGAGATTATAGTAACGAACAAAAATTTACAATGTTTTATAGTATTTTTATATTGATGAAAAGGGATGAAAAGGGATAAAAAGGAAATGAAAGAAAGAGGAATAATTTTGTATTACTCCTGGCTTGACTTCCTTTCCTAAAAGTTTCCGTTTAATGCAGAGTCTTTTGTCTAGGTTGCTTAGTTATTATAATGTGCGCAGGGGATATGGATGAGGAACTTGTACCAAAGTTACCGCAGCCCGTATGTGGGCATCTGGCTGTTCTGGCGGCCGGCGCTGGTCGTCAATAGTGTGGATATCGGCCGACGCATACTGGTCAGCGACGCAGCATTCTTTAGGGACCGCTTCGTAACTTCGGGAGATTCTGATCCTATCGGGAAATATAATCTATTCACTGTGAAGGTAACTTCATTTAAAATACTCTACTAATTAATACTGAAACCGGGACTCACCGTAAAACCTTAGCATTAGCTTTATACGCCTTATTGTGTTACTTCATTATCTTCTTTTAGGAACCAGTTTGGTCATCCCTTAGACGTCGCCTGACGCCTGTGTTCACCGCGGCCAAGCTGCGCAGCGTGCACGACTTCGTTACGGTGAAGACCCAGGAGCTCATGCAGAGAATTCAAAATGATATGACAGAGAATCAATGTTTCAATCTTAGAGTAAGATAATTAGAGTTATAAGCTGACGACCGCGAGACAACGAATCTTAATCATGACTCTTTTCATAGAGATTGCAAGAGTTTACTTGTTGTTATTGTAGAAAGCATTCACGGATTACACGACGGATGTGATCGGCGGCGTATCGCTGGGTTTCGTGGGGGAGGCGACGCTGTCGGGTCGCGGCCCTCTGCGCACCGTCACCCAGCAGTTCATGGACTATGACTTTTTCCGTGGCGTCAGCTGGGTACTGTTGTTCTTCTGGCCCTCGTGGGCTAATTTCTTCGGGTAAGAAAATCTAAACTGAAAGTGTTTGCTTGACTTGAAGGTTTTCTAGGAGTTTGATTATGGAAGTTTTGGCTACCTATAGACGTTTATTTCTTAACCATTAGAGTGAAATATCATTTAACACTTACAATCCAATTGATGGTCCATGATGAATCATGTCATAGCAACATACATACATGATAAATTATAGTTCTTTTCGTGATATTTTGTCGTATGATGATAAATCCTAAGTGTGAAGGGAATATGATAATTGGTGCACAAATGTCTGATGTTATGTAACAGCATATATTTTCCCTTGCAGATTAACCGCATTCCCTAAAAATTCCATAGACATATTGACGCGAGTGTACCAGACCGCACTGGTGCAGCGCGGGGGCTATGAGACCGAAGTGAAGGAGACCAGAGACCTGCTCGATGCTCTCATAAAGATCAAACAGGACTGCGCCAGAGACAATGAAGGTTCAATAAAATACAATAGTTTATCTTTTAACTTTTTATTGCTTCGAAGAAATTCACAAAATAACTACAATATGAGTTTAGATGTATTGTTTACTGTTGCTAACTATTTTAAGATCTTTTTAGGTGATCTAAGATTCTTCTTTTAACTTTATGGGTCTTCTTCATTATTACAGATATGCCAGATGAAAAATTGCTAGCCCACGCGGCGGTGTTCGTGCAGGGTGGGTTTGATACCACCGCCAGTATTCTCAGCTGGTGCATCTACGAACTTGCATTCCGTACGGAAATACAGGTATCATAAAAGAGGACATTTTATTCCATAAATATCTCTTCAAAGTTTAGGTTATTTTGGTACCGAAGTATTGTCATATTTAGAAGGCGTATTCAATTTTTTTCAATTCTTAGATTTTAATTTTATTAGATTCAGGGATCACAACTATTTGTATAATGTGTATTCCAGGACAACATGTACATGGAACTTGTCGATTTACAAAAAGATAAGGAAGAACTGAAAGATATTGATCTCGGTAGTCTATCTAACTTGAGTTACTTGAACGCTGTTATAGACGGTACGTTTGTTTATACTGTTAACATAGTATTTTATATCAATTTTGGAGAACATAGTATTATAATTTTAGGTTAAAGTACATAGCTGGTATTTACTAAAGAATATTGAATGTATTCTACCAGAAACATTGAGAAAGTACGTCGTCATGGGATGGATAGACCGCGTCGCGAATCGCGACTATCAGATAGACGAGCATCTGACGGTACCGGCCGGTACCCCGGTCTATGTGAACGCGGCGGGCATCCAGAGCGATCCGGACATTTACCCGGAGCCGGACAAGTTCTGGCCGGAACGTTTCCTTGAATGTGATGTCAATAGAAGCGCTACGCCCGTCTGGACCTTCGGTGAAGGGCCTAGGAGTTGTATTGGTAAATGTTTAAACTTTAAAGAACACATTACAATTCAATATCATTACGAAAGTGTTAATATTAAACATGATTAGGGCATTTATTACTCATATCCTTAGATGTAATTATTTGCAGGTCGCCGGTTCGCATTAATTAACCTCCGTTGTGCCGTGGCGTACATGGTGGTGACGTACAAGTTCCGTCCCCTGGCCGCAACACCTTCCCCTTCCCGCGTGCAGGTGGAGAGACACAGTCTCTTCTACGCGCCAGGGGAACCTCTACTTATTGACTTCGAACCCCGAAAGTAGCTTTCGCTTAGGTAACCTTGGGGCCTTATAACTTCCAAAGCAACAGTTACCTAAACTTAATACTTGGTCATTGTTTTAAACTCTATTAGTGCTTTCTGCGGACAATGATCCAGTTGTGCTGAAATGAAGTCTATCCAATCTAAATTAGATTTTTTTATTAACCGCAACAAACTGCGCAATATTTGATTTTAAAGGGAAAACAAAAAATACATAAAAATTAAGTATTGACTTAAAGAGTATTTGTGGACATTCCTCCATTGTATTATATTTGATTGAAAATTCTACCACTTATAAAAAATACACAAAAAAAACAACAACTTTGAATAGAAATCTCTTCCAATGAAACTGTTTTGAGTCAAATATTATAGTTTATATCCATAAAGTCAATTATACAGTTAATAAAGTTAGTTTGTAAACTGCCTTCATAACCTAAATGCTCATTGAACACGATATTGACATAACTTTTAATGGACATTCAGAAACTTGCCAGACTACAGCGTTACAGATTACAATAAAACTATTGTTTGGAAATTTAACTGGAGCAAGTAGCATCATTATATAGAAGTATATAAGTAGCTTATATACATCTTCGACATATTCTATTTTGAAACAAAAAGATTAAAAATCAATCAAAACAGTATGTTATTATAACTCATGTTGTTTATAAAAAAATCCTTTAAATAAATTCTGGAATTTTTATAATAAATGCGGAACCACTGAAGTGAGTAGCGATTGTTTCGTAGACGTTGCTACGAGTACGTGGGCGTAGGTCAGAGGTCGTAGACAAGGTCGCAGGCAGGGGGTTGTTTACTACGAATACTTCAAGGGAACAAACATCGTTAAGTAAAGGAAGTTCGCATTTGCCCCTTCCTGTCATTAAGATCGTCGACTCTACAAAGCTTTGTACCTTTTTGTGCTATTTTTTGAAGAAATGTGGCCTTTGTGAAATGTGACATAAGATAAAGTCACAATGAAATTCGACTGCCGAACTTTTATTAAAATGTTAAAACTTGTCTTTGTTTTATTTTTAAGAGAATAAAAGGGATGAAAAAATACATTTTAATATCGAAAGTAAGACATAGAAAATGACTAGATACATGGGAGTGCTTTAAGACAAAAAATTATGGATTTAGTTAAAAAATTAAAAAGTGTTAATTTTGAATGAAAACATTTAATTAAAACAGATTGACTTATCCTGCGGTCTCCTATTTATCTTAAGTTCCTTGAATGTTATTCTAGTCTTTGAAATATTCAGTATTTAACTACTAAACCTCGGTTTTTATTCGTAGCTAAAATCAAATATAAAACATTTCTCAACATTACGCAGACAAATCGTTTCAATTCCGAGCGAAAAATGACACGATTTTCTTAATAAATTACTGGAGTTTTATTCAGCGCAAATAGATTTTCTTTACAAAATCTCTGGGATACTTATTGCATAAACTTTTGAAAAGATACTCTCTTATCAATATAAATTGTGACAGGATTGTTTTTTTTTTGTTTTGACATTGTGATATTTTCAGAGTTCAGGCATTTTATAGGATTAAAAAAGCACATAAGTGTTAATTTAACTTTAAACTTTCATGGTTTTATTATTATACTGTTCGTTAGATCGTAACATGCTCAAACAGCTCAATCGTGGTAAGAATCCCGTGTCTTACGAACATTATAAGTGTCAAGTAGGTAATTTTTTTTTGAAATGTTGTAAATATTTAGGACATAATAATTTGAAATGTTTATCAAATATTTTATGAATTAAATCATAATAAATGTTCAAAGAGCAAACTGTTAATAAAATCCGTGAAAAGCTCTACAAAGGCCCTCAATCGCCTAATTGTAGAGAGGAAATTAAACACTTATATTTCAAGTACAAAGGTTTTTGCCGCTCAAGGAGTAAAGCTCTTCAAAGTGAAAAACCATCGTTTTCTAAGTAATTGTGCTTACTCTTGTCAAATATCTTCTATTTCTTGTCTTCATTTTAATACTTAAAAATAAATAACTAATTTGATTGTTTTTATTTCAACATTGTTTTCATTGCTATTATTATTGACAAGGCGTAAGTAGTAAATTGGACAAGACAAGTCATTACAAGTTTTTTTTTAATTCAGTAATGTAATTTTTATGTGAATTGTTGTATCCAATAAATTTCAATGATCATTTTGTTTTTTCTATTTAATGTCGTCGTTCAGAACTGTTCCATTTCCGTTGTAAATATATCAAACAGAACAAAAACATCGTTAGCAACAGGAAACTGCACTAGGCTTCTTCCGGTTCTCCTCTACTAAATATACTATGTATTGTATGTGCTTAAAGCTACTACATAATATACTATAATGCATTTTGTGGTTTAATATAGTAGTATAATATAATTCTCAATAATAATAATATTTTATGGCAAGCGATGGCAAATGAGTAAGCTAGAGTTAAAAGGTAGGAGATGCATTACCTTGCTACTTCCTCTCCCCAGCTAAATCTTTTTTTCCCTTTCCGTCCTTTACTTATTAGACAATGATATAGTGGAAGAGGACTAAAACTTGGCCTAATTTAAGTTGTAACGAATTCGATTTGGTCGACGTAGATCTTTGAGAAAATCAGCTGTTGTATCGACAACGACGATGTCAATAGACAATTATCTCGAAAGCCAAAACCAATCAGAGTTCGTCAGACTGATGGGAATGCAGATTTTGAAGCATTCAAGTTGTTCGTTGCTGATAAAGAGCTCGTAGGCAATGATTGCATTTTCCTATTTCGTAATCAAAATTTATTAAAAAATACTTATAGTTTGTTTATTTATTTATTTTATAAAACGGTTAAAATATAAAATGAGATAAAATTAATTTAGCGAGCGAGCTAACTGGATGTAGTTCTTGTTCATTTAATCGCCTCTTTTCATTTGAAATTCGTTCGATGCTTAACCCCGTTCCGGAATTAATTAAAATTCAAATAAATGAAATACGCCTCCAAGTCGCTTTTAATAAATGCCCTGAATGTCTGTAGTCCGCTCTTATTTCTCAACATTTATTTTTCTCGAGTAGTTTTATTTACCAGCTATCTCTAAATTAAAACTTTTAAGTCTCTACCCTTTTACATAACCAAGGTTGTTACTTATCTGATTATGTGAATAACTAATAGGTAATTCAAGAAAATAAATTATACTATTAACCTGATTATAAAACTTATGTCAATATTTTTTTCAATTCTATTCTAACATTACTTCTAAGAAAACATTCATCAAGCATAGGTAGAGCATAGTCTGGAAGAACATAGAGGTTACCGTTGATCACGGAAATCCTGCGGGGTAATGTAAAATCAAATAACATATAACTAGGGTCAACAAATCATTATCAAATGTTGGCGATTGCATTCAACTGCGCCATACAAATGCACCACGTTATACGTCGCGTCATACGCCGCGTCGTGCTCACTCTGACAGATTTACAGGCTCCATCAGCTCTGACAGAGACGCGCAATGAATATTGATGAGAGAATACTGGTCACCAGCCTAGTACACCGACATAAGTACAAATGAAACCGTTTCATACGTTACAATGGTTTATTATGATTATTTTACGTAAATTTTACCACTAATATAGTAATTCTTATGTTCTAACAGATATGGTTTTTGTTTTTCAAATAAATAAGGATATATTTGGTACAGGATTTGGATAGTAAGAAGCCAAAGTATTGTGACAGGCAATTTTGACACAAATTTATTTACTAGCTTTTGTAAAAACTAAATTAGTTGCCTATATATTCTTTCAGGTGATGCTCTGCTTCTATGCCGAATTTCAGCGAGATCCATGCAGCCGTTCTGGAGATCCATCCATCCATCCAAACAATTAAGATAAGTTTAATTTATTTTAAAATTATAAAATAGCGAAGTATTTTTGAAAAACTTTCAAGAAGTGATTTGAACTTTCAAGGGTTTAATCAATTATAAGAATATTTTACTTCAAACTTTGGTTCAACCAAAGAACTTATTCATGCGACAACAAATTTATAAAATCTCTTCACTTTACTTTTGCATAAAGTTCCACATAAATATTAAAAAATGCATGTTATAAATATTGTTTTTACTTACTAAAGAAACTAATTAATATGTATAATATTTTAAGGTAAAAAAGTATATTTCTTTTGGCATTGCAACGTGGAGTTTAACAAAATAAAATGAGTAAAATATAAGGAATATCCCATGGTACATTTGTGCAGCTGTAAGGCGGTCACGTACATCCCGGCGAGTGCGTGACCACTGAGAAATCAATTTGAGGCCAAATAAATTGAAATAGCCAGCAACATGGCCGCCGTAAATTCTTCTAAACCTCTCTCACTTAACTAAAACTAGCCCACGTACACGAATCTTTGCGAATGCCATTCTGCAGGGAAAGTACATTTATTATTCAAGATTATATACTCAACCCTCTATTAAGCTTGGATTTGATTTATACAACTTATTAAATATTCTTTTGCAACGTGCTTCGATGCAATTATTAAGGTTAGTAGTGTTATATTTTAAGTATATAATTAATCTTAAAATCTTTTAATAAGTAAAAGTCTTTAAAATACCATTTCCCAAAAATGTAGGGTAATCGGAAAACAATTTGTGAGATTGGTCGTGACTTCCTTTAGGATGGAATTAGCGTCCCGAGCGGGCGAACTCCCGGGGCGAGGGCGCGGCTTGCGGAACTTGCTGTCTATTTTACGCCAAATCGTCTCAGATATTACAAATTCAAATTATAACTATTCAAAATTGTTTAAGCATAAATAAAAGTTTCATTAAATTCCATTTGCCGGTAAATTAAACTTCACTTTAATGCTACTATCAAACAACCTGACATTACTCGTCCAATCTAAGTCATTGTGTTTGTAAGTGACACTATTCGTAAGTGATGTGCTACTTAACTGTAGCTTAATTAAGTTTAGTTCCGCTCCTTGTGACGTCACACCTGCGTTAGTCACGCGCTGAACTAAAAGCAACTCCTGCACTTTCAGTAACAGAATCTATATTTTAAGACTAACTTTACTATGCAACTGTTACACTGAATATGTTTTAGCTTTGGTATTTACTTAGTCATGTATAGGAATTTTCATATTGTTCTTTTTATATTATACGGTGGCACGAGTAAGGGGTCATCTGAATTCTCTA